TCAGGAGCACTAGATACACACAGCACGGCTCGGCCGCGCAGCGGGCAGCTTATGTCTAACCGGATAGCATCTCATTCTAGAAAACCACCTCAACTTTGTAACTCAGTTATCTCTTCTGTCCACTGAGGCAGGGAGCTTATCTGAGGAGGCATTCCAAAACCCTGTCCATGTATAGAGCCAGCCACCTGTAGTCACTTACCCTCTGCATTTTCAGGGACGTGACAGTGGCTTTATCTCACAGAACAGGACTCCTTGAGGTCTGTTTTATAGCAAGACGAGTCCCAGCACGTCTTCATCAGTGTGTTTCCTGAGCCACTGGGTGTGTGGCGTGCTCACGATTGCCTCTGTGTCCTGTATACCGACAGGATGCCTGGCAAGGGTAACACGGGGAGCATCTTTGGAACGTACAGAGGTGTATGTGTAATTAAGTGTAAGTGAAATACCAATACCTGAGACCCACTTTAATGGCAGAGACTTCCAGTAAAAGAAGTTTCCAAACCTATTTAAATATCTTCAGTCCCTAGCAAATACCATAATTAGTTGTTGTTTTTTAAGGGAAGCTTTTTAAAAAATATATATTTTTGTTGATTCCAGAGAGGGAGAAGGAGAGATAGAAACATCAATGATGAGAGAGAATCACTGATTGGGTGCCTCCTGCACACACCATACTGGGGATTGAGCCCACAACCTGGGCATGTACCCTTGATTGGAATCAAACCTGGGACCTTTCAGTCTGCAGGCCGACGCTCTATCCACTGAGCCAAACCAGCTAGGGCCATAATTAGTTATTTTTAAGGTTCAGGGGGCCTAAATAGTATTCAAATGCCTACTATTTTCCTCTTATACAAAAACAAGCTTTTCCATGACTGTGTTTTAAAAATGAATTTGATGCTATTCAATGATTGAAAGATAAGAAATCACAGAATTGTCTTCTTTGTTTTAATTATTTATATATGGGGTGGACAAAATTAGGTTTACAGTTGTTTGTATGGAAAAAGACATGCAGGTTATGATTATTTACAATAGCTTTATTAACTCCAAAGGATGTCACAGTGCACCCTCTTTTGCCCACACTTATCTTTTAAGTCCAAGTTGTGATAAAGAGTTTGCAGTTTCTTATCCTTCACTCTCATCATTGATTCACTTCTCCATCCGGGACCCATGAGCTTGAGGTGTGAGATGTGAGGCCAGTCATAAGGACGTTCACTCAGACTCCTAGGAGCAACCTTTGACATTCTTACTGTATCCAGAGTAACTGTTTGATGTGATAGCTCCCACGGAGGCCTTTGGAAAACCACGTTTCCAAAGCTGACTGGCAGAGGGGAAATCTAAAACCTTAGCGAGAATTTACTACGAGTCTCAGGTGAATTCAGATTTAGAATTTGAAACCAGATGCTCTTAAAACCTTTTTCTCTAGAAGCCACCCCAACAAGCTATCATTTGTTCTTGAATCTCTTAAGAACTATGTGTCAGCCTGTCATATTATCATGATCACCATTTCTCTGTTAAAACTGAACACTATGTAGGGCAAAGAAAAAGCCTGTCAAAAATTGATGGCCAAATGGTTGGCTTATTTCGGTGAATACACACACTGGTGAAGACAGGTGACACTGTGACGGGTAGGTGTTTCCATTTTGGAACAGTCCTGGGACAGGCATAAAAGTTGTTTTCCCAACGTTGGCAAACAAAGGCTGCCTCTGCAAATACACAGCAGGGGCCACACAATATAAAACAGCATGCCACTGCCTGTCCCCACCCTCCCAGCCCTGAGCTCAGCCCAGGTCTGCACTACTGCATTGGCATTTATGAGGTGATAAAGAAGAGATCAGAATGAATCTTCAGTCCTCTCTCCAAAGCTGTGGGAAGGGAGAGATGAACTAGGGCCTGGAGCCCTTGGAGGAGAGAAGGTAGAATAAGGGCAGGAGGTGAACATAGAAGTTGGTAGAAGGTAGCACACCCAGGTGGCAAGCAACCTGCCTCCCTACTCTCTCCTTTCAGCAGAGGGAGTATCCCATAGCCCCTCGAAATGCAACCCACAGATCTCGGGAGTCAGCACTCATTGGAGAGGGGGTTCTCCCACCAACTTTTACCCTTTACTCACATTCCCAGAGTCTCCCAGGGCTCTCCATGTGGTGAGATCTGTTGGTGAGCCCTGTGGCTCCTGCCGGCTGAAAGCCTGGAATTGATCCCCTGGGATCTGCACTGTCCACACTCAAGATAGAGTGGAGACGCACAGTTAGTTGTGCCGCCTTTTGGGGAGCTTCCTGGACGATAAAGAAGAGGGATTTGCACGTCAGCACTGAGATCACCGCAGAATTACCATGCCCACCCTGGCCCCCGAACCCAACTGCCCTGTGCGCATGCGCCCAGCCGCCCAGGGCAGTCTCCTGCCTTACATTTCCTTCCCTCGCCCCCTTCACCCCCGTAACTGAGATGTCATCCCTAAGCAGCAGTTCGCTTGCCTAGTGTGGAACTTTGTGCCGCCTGATTTTGGACAGGGCTTGGTGGTGGCTGACACCTAAAAGGCGTTTGGGGATTTTACAGGACACGTATGGGAATATCAGGAACCTAAAACTTTGGGAATAGATGTTTTCTCAGAGGATGAAGGAGCCTTCTAGGAACTGACAAACAACCGAGACCCCAGGATTTGAGTTTGTTTATAGATTCTTCTCATGGGCTTCGCATTGAGTGGGGGAATGGGAAAGGGTAACACTAGGATTGGAGCCAGGGCAGGATGCTTGCTGTGTAGTTTGCATCACAGTGGCCCACATTATTAATATTCTGTTGTGCAAAGTGGGATGAGCCCCAGGCCCAGGAATTTTCCCAGCTCTCCTTGGAGATCCGGGCCACACTCCAGGTGAGGGAATATTCTGGACAGGAGGTAAATTCCGAGCCTCCCTGTGGCCAACAGCTTCCATCTCTGTCAGAGGATGTGGACATCTGCAAAGTATGGCACCCCGAAACAGGGCAGCCCCAGGGACACAGCCCCAGAGTCTGCATACGTCAGCCTCCAGACAAGACTCCTTTACTGCCAGTGACTGCAGGCCGTTGAGCCGGGGAGCTGCCTGCCTTTGAACTCCCGGTCATATCTCTGCTTTCCTTCCAGGCCCTGCCCTACGTCTGCCTTTTGATTGCCATGCTGTTCTTCATCTATGCCATCATTGGGATGCAGGTGAGCGGGGGCGCGCGCGGGGCCTGGTCAGGGTGGTTGTGGCCCAGACTGTCTCTGGCTCACTGAGCACTCAGGACTGGGGTTGCGTTAAAGGGGCAGGCTCCCAAGGTCTTGTTGCCATGTGACCTTGGGAATTTCCCAGGTGCCGGCTTCCCCACTCAGGTTGCCCAGGTAGGCAGGGTGGTCTGGTACAGGGGCTTCATCTGAGATTGTGAGACCATAGTGATGACTTACAGCAGCTGGACTTCCAACAACAAACCACAGCAAAGGTGGCACCAGTGTTCTTGGCCAGAGGGTGCCCAGGAGACTAAGGAGGGGGCAGGGCTCATGCTGATCCACTGCTCAGGGTCTCAGGTATTGGAGCCAGGCCTTAAAGGTCAATGGCTGATCTCCTGTATACAGTGACACAGAATATGGCTTAGTAAAATCCTGAATGGCTGAGATTTACAACCTGAAACTCACCCCAGGGAACAGCGTGTCAGGTTCTGGGCAGCATGCCAAACCCTAGACCAGCATTCTCAACCCCTTTGGCGGTCGAACGACCCTTTCACAGGGGTGGCCTAAGACCATCCTGCATATCAGATATTTACATTACGATTCATAGCAGTAGCAACATTACAGTTAGGAAGTAGCAACGAAAATCATTTTATGGTTGGGTCACATCATGAGGAACTGTATTTAAAGGGCCAGAAGGTTGAGAACCACTGCCCTAGGGCCACGGGCCACATTCCAGCTAGTTCTTCTCAAAGGGCCGTGCAGCTGGCTGGTTACACATCCTTCCCGGTTTGGGAATTGAGAAGAGGAGCTCAGGTTCCCACCCCGGATATCCCTACAGTTGCCAAAGGCCCGTCAAGCGGAAGAGGCCAAAAGGTCTCTCACAGGCAACTGTCATTTAGGGTGTGTGGGCTCCTGCTGAAAACACACAGCAGCAGCCCATGGACCTACCCGCTGGGGACACAGGCTCTCTGCTTGTTTCCGGGACTAACTCTCTGACTTGGAGGTGGGGAGACTAAGCCCCAGCACAGAACTTCAGCCAAGCGGCAGTCCCCTGCAGTCAGGCAGGCTGGCCACCTTTGGACGGCCTGCCAGCTGTCCCCTCCACAGCACCTGCCATCTGGAGCCGCTGGCCACGTCTCCCAGGCCTGCCCAGTCAGCAGCCCCCTCCGGAGCCCCTCTGAGAGGCTCTCCCTTTTACTCCTCTCTCGCGCCTGCGCTTCTGGATTTTGTTCATCTTCTAACCCCATTACTGGAGAGTTTATATGATAGAAGCCAAGTGTCAGAAAGTGTGAGACTTGGCTGAGAAGTAATGAGATCTCCTTCACGGAGGACAGGTCAGCAGGGGTTTAACGGTGAAGTCCGGGGTGTGGTAGAAGCTAACTCCAGCGACCTTGAAGATTGCCTTGACGACTTCTATTAAGTCCCTTGGAACTTCCGAATATTTGGATCTCGAATTAAAATCTTCTTGAACAGCCAAATGGAACTTGATAAAATTACATTCTTTTTGGCTTATGCTGGAAAATAGTTCTTACTACCTTTTTCATTTTCAAACAAAGTAAACTAGAATTACACCATCTCCCATACTAACTGGTTATTAATACTACTGAAAATGGTGATAATGCTGTTTACCATTACTCAACTTCCTGAGTGTGGCAGGCACTGTGCTAAATGTATGTCCTTACCCTCTCTCTTCGTGTGTGTGTGTGTGTGTGTATGCGTGCACACATATGTACATACACACATGAGAGAGAGCAAGAGAGAGATGCAAAGCTCCTAACTAGAAAGATTGCATCTCATATTGTCATAACAAAGGCAGAAGGACAGTAGACAGAGCATTAGAGAGGTAAACGCAACAAGATGTCTGTATGGGAAGGACTGTTACTCTGAACTTTCAGAGTCATCTTGGGAGAAGAGAGTTTGCAGAGGAATCTGAACGTGGAAGGAAGGAGTAACTTGCTGGGTCTGGAAAAGCGCTCTGGGCTGCAGGTCCTTAGAGGTGAGGCTTTCAGCCTCAGCTCCACCGCTGGCCAGCTGTGCAAACTTGGTCAAGTGACCGAACCTCTCTGGGCTTAACACCCTCAGCAGTCCCGTAGAGGAGTTGGATACACAGCTTCACAGGTCCTGCCTGGTTCTACAGGTCTGTGAGTCCAAGTGAAAGGACATAAGCCTATACGTTCAGTCAGTTTCTGATGGTCTCAGCATCCCTTCTTTCTCCTCTGTACCCATTTGATATACGAGATTTGGGTTAGTGACAAGGACTGAGTGAAAAGCAAAAAAAAATAAAGTGGAAACAATTTGAAAGACCACCTTCACAATAAATACACGTTTTTGGCTTGAAAATTTTCTTGGAGAACATTTGGTATAAGTTTATACACATACCTCATGCAAATTCTTGGCCTGCCCTCAAACCAGGTCATGATTGGAGAAGGGAGAAAGTACATGTGTATGTGGTGAATCAGGGATAAACCGTGGATTCTGAGCCCTCAAACCAGGTCATGATTGGAGAAGGGAGAAAGTACACGTGTATGTGGTGAATCAGGGATAAACCGTGGATACTGAGCCAGGAGGACAAGAGAGAGAGAGAGAGAGAGAGAGAGAGAGAGAGAGAGAGAGAGAGAGAGATGCGAACACAGGCGAGGGGTCCTAACAGCTTCCTCCTGGGGCATCCAGAATTAGATTGGATTGTTTGGGATTTTTTCAGGGCTGCTATTTGTCTGTTTGGGGGTTCTCTACCTTCTCATCTTCCTCCTTCCCACTTCCCTGCCTGGCCTGCCCCCTCCATTCTCCCCGAGAGACAAGTAGTATTTGGGTTTTGAGAAGCAACGTTCAGAACACATTCCCAAAGCAGGTGTCAGTGGGAGTTATCCGAGCAAAATAGCTGGGGGCAGAGCTTGTTCCTCAATTGCACATTCTGAAAACTGTTATGGGGGGAATATGTTGCATTCAGCAGCTATTAGATAAATGGAGAGATGTTAGATATAGGCTGAAATTTGTCTCAAATGGCTGGGAAAGCAACCTGTGAGCCTTCAGTTGTGCAAACGGTGATTTGCGAGACCAGACCCTGATGTCGGAAGCGCAACTGGGAAGGGAAGTGCCTATGGAAGGGCACCTTCTCATCTGAAGAGACCTTGGGTGACCGTGGCTCCGGGCAGCAGTGTGTTGGAGAGCTCATCCTTATTCGGTGTCTGCAGATGAAGTGCTCTGGATTTTCCCTCTTTTTTCATGTGAATTTGCCTGGTGACCACATTCTAAGCCCAGCGACCAAGGGCAGATTAGTAAACTCACTCGGTAGCCAGATCTGCCCAAACCTGTTGCCGTCTTCCTCTTCCGAGCGTCCGTTGTCCTGACTCTCTTCATCCCTCTGGCCTGGACTTGCTTTGTGTGAGCCCATCCTCGGGGACGGTAGTTTACAGACAGACGGACTCTCTGGGTAGGAACACAGCCAAGGAAGACAGCGATGCCCCTCTCTGACCTAAACTGCTTGTGCACTTGAGGGCAGCATCTTCCCAAGCCATAGTCACATCTGCAGATCCGGATGCCCCCATCAGCACTCCCCGGACAGGCAGAGACTCCGTGATGGGTGATGTCTGTGGCAGGCACACGGTGAGTGCCATGGTGACAGGTGCCATGGAAATAAAAAGACCAAATTAGGTGTGGGAGGAACGATAGACAGGTGGAAGATTTCCCAGATCTTGCCTTCTACGGTCTTCTTTTCCCGCCTGCTTATCGGGTTTGGGCACAGGGCCCACCAGCCTGTCTGGGTGTGGGTTGTCTGCTTCAGGGCGAGGCCATCAGGAGGAGCCACGCGTGTGGATGTGCCAACTCTGCATGTCATGTCCATGCGCCGGGTGCCTGTCACAGCTCCGCCCTGCTCATTGCTTTCTGTTGTTTTCTCCTCCAGGTATTTGGAAACATAAAGTTGGATGAGGAGAGTCACATCAACCGGCACAACAACTTCCGGAGTTTCTTTGGGTCCCTCATGCTACTCTTCAGGTGCCTGGACGCGGAACTATTGTAGCCTAGCCCTCCACCGAGGGGACAGAGTTGGTCTTCTCTTCCACTGTCTGTGCCTCTTCACTGCCCTTGCTCCGCTCCCAGCAGGATGGCAGTGGGGTGGGGGCAGCAGGGGGGTCACCTCTAACTCAGTAGTGAATTTGCAAATTGCAGCTTCAGCTTGTCCTTTGGGACTCTGAGAGGGGGAAGGCGAGGACAGTTTCCTGCAGGTCAAATTCCAGTTAAGGCCTGAAACCTTGGCTGGCCGGGTGTGTGGGGTCCCAGAATGTCCCATCACGATCAGCAGAGATTCTTCCAAAAACAGGGAAGCAGTGGGTGAGGTGGCAGAACCCGAGAGAGACTCATTGGCACGCTCCATCTCTGCATGGAAAGCACGAGAGCCACGAGTACTAGGCAAAGCCGTTGGGCCTATGGCCAGAGGAAGGGGTGGGTGAATTGGGAGAGAAGGCCAAGGAGAGGACCGGACATGCAGACCTGCCACTAATCACCAAAATGTCTTCTGGGCTCAGGAGTGCCACAGGCGAGGCCTGGCAGGAGATAATGCTGTCGTGCCTCGGGGAGAAAGGCTGTGAGCCCGACACCACGGCGCCCTCCGGGCAGAACGAGAACGAACGCTGTGGCACCGATCTGGCCTACGTTTACTTTGTCTCCTTCATCTTCTTCTGCTCCTTCTTGGTGAGTAGCCTTGTGCCCTTAACCCGAAATGTGGCCCAGCCCTTTGGGGCTGGGCCGGCTGGGAGGGGGTGGGGGGGCCCCTGGAGGCTGGTGTCCCCGAATGGGGTGGGGGTGGCCAATCAGGGGCCAGCGGCCTGGGGGAGGGGTCATGTGTGGTTGGCTGGCTGCCTCTGCCCCTGATTAGAATGGGGGCACTGATCAGGGATGGAGCTGACTGGGGAGAGGTGACATGGGCCAATCGTGGTGGTGAGGTCCCATTGGGGGTGGGGCTGGCCTGGGGGAGGGGCCTCAGGAGATTTGGGGGGCCCATTGGGGCCCCGATCCAGCTAGTTGGCCACTGCAGTGCGTGTCATAGCGACCGGTCATTCTGGTCATTCCAGTCGTTCTGGTTGCTTGACTTTTATATATATAGATGTTTAGTGACAGTGGCCAGCTTGACATGAGAGGATCTAATCGCTTCCGGTATTAGTGAACATTGAGTGATATCTGTGGAGCACACCTGCTTACAAAATAGTGAGGGGCTCAAGTGCCCCTTCATTCTTTCATCCAGAAATCTCTGTGCTGCATAATCTGACCAGTGGGGATAAACAGGATGATGGATGATGATTGAGGTGCCCCTGCTAAATCAGTGATGGCCAGTCCTGTGTTTGTGGCCACCCTGACATCCCTTAGCTCAGCTTCGATGCTAATGCCACTGACTGTACAAGAATCAAAAGCTCAAGCAGTTCCCTGGGAAAGTGGGCAGTTTCATGGCCAGACATCCCAAAGTGAATGAATTGTCTCTCATCCAGCCATTTCTGCCTCTAACGTGATCCTTGGGGGACTTGCCACCTGTCCATCTCTCGGGTGTGGGGAAGCGGCTTGCAGCTAGACCGAGAGGGACTGGGAGGGGACGGACAGAGAGTTAGTAGCCCATGTTAGTAGCCCACATTGAGTTCTGGGCTTTGCTGCTGCTGTAGGACAGGAGGGAAAAGGACTTGATAATGAGAGTGTTATTTAGTGAGCAGATGCATGTGTTTTAGTAAACTCCCTGCAGGAGATTTTAAAAAGAAAAACAAAACAGTATCCCATTTAGAAATATGGAAGTGGAACATCTAATGAAAATAACTGAAAAGCAATTTTGAATGATATTGGAGTTTTAAGTTGATTCATTCACATATTCAGCACATTTGTACTGAGTGGTCATTAAAAGGCGAGGCACCGGCTGTACCAGAACCGAAAACTAAAGCAATGCCCTGGAAAGGTGGGCGGTTTCCTGGGTGGAGTAGAGCTCGGTGAATAGAGCAGTGAACTTCAGGTTAAATCTGTTGTAACCCCTGGTAAATCCTTTCTCTTCTGTGCCTCCAGTGTTTTATCAGTTGATTCACTCACATGGTCAGCACGTTTGTACTGAGTGTCATTAAAAAGCTGTTATGGTCCCTCCATCAAAGGCTGAAAGGCATACAGGGGTCTCAGCACTCAGATGGGGTGAAATGGGGCGTGTGGAAGGACATGTAGACATCACAGTTTTATCCTACATGGTGTAAATGTTTAATAATAAATATTTAAAAGAAACCAGAGATATAACTGGAAAATTCATTAGCGACTCTAAAGGCACTGGTAGAATTTTGAGATGGAGGGTGCTGCATAATTCACGCTACTGTTATTTTTAAATTCACGCTGTATTCAGTCTGAGAGGATCCGCTTTCAAATCTCAGCCCCGCAGGAGAGTGACTTTGTGACCTTGGGCGAGTCGCACAGCTTCTCAGCCCCACGCAGCCACCCGGAGGGATGTACCAGTGGGCGGGATGTGCCAGGCCGTGCGCTTAGAGCCAAGGATGCCAGTGTGTGTGGGAAGCGCTGGGTCCTGGAAGGGCTGATACGATGAAAGCTGCCACATGAAAACGCAGGGCAAGCATTAAAACAAAGAATAGGTGTGAATGTGCACACCATTATACAAGACTATAGGCAAACGTAAAGCAATAATAAATACCTAAGAGTGTTTGTTACCATGAATAATAGGTACCAAGAAAGGAGTGTACAAGATGTGTGGATACGTGGAAAACCCTCTGTAACCCACGCAGCCATTGCATATATATTCACTGTGGCTCCAGTCTCAGAGGCAGACAGAGAGGCCGTGCTAGGATCAGGTGCAGCTGCATGAGACAACTGAGTAACAGTGGCTTAACCCAGAGGGATGTTTCTTTCCCTCACGCACCAGCAAATCTGGAGGGAGGCAGTGCGGGCTCATGATGGTGGCTCCACAGCGGTTAGCACTCCAGACTTTCTGCTCCTTTACCTCCAGGGCTGTCCCTCATCCTCTTGAGGCTAAACCTTCAGTCGTCCACTTACTAGTACATTCTAGGTGGAGGGAGGAAGGGAGGGAGGGGGGCAGGCAGGCAGGAAGGGAGGGAGGAAGACTGGTTAGTAGGATGCATCAGCAGTCTCTCTGGTTAGTATGATGGGCCAGCAGTCTCTCTGACTGGTTAGTAGATGGGCCAGCAGTCTCTCTGACTGGTTAGTACATGGGCCAGCAGTCTCTCTGACTGGTTAGTAGGATGGGCCAGCATTTTCTCTGATTGGTTATTAGATGGACCAGCAGTCTCTCTGACTGGTTAGTAGGATGGGCCAGCATTTTCTCTGATTGGTTATTAGATGGGCCAGCAGTCTCTCTGACTGGTTAGTAGATGGGCCAGTCCTCTCTCTAACTAGTTAGTAGGATGGGCTAGCAGTCTCTCTGACTGGTTAGTAGGATGAGCCAGCAGTCTCTCTGACTAGTTAGTAGGATGGGCCAGCAGTCTCTCTGATTGGTTAGTACAGTGGTTGGCAAACTCATTAGTCAACAGAGCCAAATGTCAACAGTACAATGATTGAAATTTCTACTGAGAGCCAAATTTTTTAACCTTAAACTATATAGGTAGGTACATTGTTATTAACTTAATTGGGGTACTCCTAAGGCTTAGGAAGAGCCACACTCAAGGGGCCAAAGAGCCGCATGTGGCTCGTGAGCCACAGTTTGCCAACCACGGGGTTAGTAGGATGGGCCAGCAGTCTCTCTGACTAGTTATTAGATGGGAACTTCCTTACCTCCACCCCCTGCATCTGGGTGTCTGTTTGGAATACAGGGGGTGGACAATAAATGTTGTTGAGCAAGCAAGTGGGAGAACAGGGTCTTGGAAGCCACTCAGGAGCCAAAGATAGCTTCAAGTCGGCACGCAGTAAGCCATGGTGTGGGCTCTGAGAGGTCTCACCAGTTCTGTTGGCTCCTTTGGTGGAGCAAGGGTGGGGGAGGGGCTGGAAGGGAGCGTGGGCGTCAGGCCTTGGTTTTCTCCAGCCTTGGAGCATGTTGTCGCTGCTGCTCCCTCGCTTTTCCAGTAACAATTAAATAAATGGAACATATAACAATGCTTTTCAAATAGAAAACTGAAATAATGCTGTTCGCACAACAAAATTTGTGGCACAGATAACACAAATGCAACACATTTAGCAAGATCAACAGGCTTTGGTCGGGGCCTTCAGCCTTACAAACTTCAGAATTGTCGATTGGCCTTGAAGCCTGTTTTTCTGCTTTGGGGTTCCCCTAACTTTTCTTCCCTCCCCTCGTGCCCTCCAGATGCTCAACCTGTTCGTGGCCGTCATCATGGACAACTTCGAGTACCTGACTCGGGACTCGTCCATCCTGGGGCCTCACCACTTGGATGAGTTTGTCCGCGTCTGGGCAGAATACGACAGAGCTGCATGGTGAGTAGGCCACTCGGCCAACCCACTGAGGCCTATATGAGAGGCCACCAAGTTCTCAAGGAAGAGGTTGGCATTAGAGCCACCCAAATGCTTGCCTGTTACAGGAGAGGGCACTCCTCTTGCCTGTGGCCCGTTGAAGAGGCCGGGTCCTCAGCGTGGCTCTGGTATCAGACATAGCTTTTCTCTGTCCCTTTCTCTCTCTTTCCTTCGGTGACAGGCTGTCCCTTTCTTTGCCAATCTCATCACACTGTCCTACCTCAGAGTGTTTGGGTTCAATCCCCAGAGGAGCTTCTTTTCCTGTCTAATGGTTGAGTCATCACCGGGGTTGACCAGGGTTTTCTGGGCCAATCGGACGTCTGGCCACCACGGTCAGTGACAGGAGTGATCCATGCCTCTCATCCCTCTCAAAAGGTCCAGTGTGAGAAAACAGAAGGTATACACGAAAGCAAGCAGGTTGCCCTTCCGACTGATCCCTTGTGGATTCTATTGCATGAAACTGAGTTAAATGTTAGGAGTTTGTGGGGATACCTCCCATTCTCTTTCACTGTCCAGGAGTTCTTCGGCGATGTCATGCCCTCTGGCTTTAGAGCAGGGTTGGCGACGCCCGCCCAGGGTCTAGATGGGGCCCAATGCCGGTTTCCCAGCCATGCTCACTCGTTTGTGGGTTGCCCGAGGCTGCTGTCGCACTACAAGGCAGGCTTGAGTGGTTATGACAGAGACTGTATAGCCCTCAAATTCAATACTATTTCCTCTGTGAGCCTTTACAGAAAAGGTTTGCCCATCCCTGCTTTAGAGTTCAAGGGCAACCTTTGGGCCCTCGTGGCTGAAGACGGGTGAGAGTCCTGTGAGTGCTCACTCCCAGGCTCTTTCCTGTCCCATGTCATCTTCGCTTTGGGGACTTAATCTCACCAGTCTATCCTCTCTGGCCCCCTCTGAAAATACCACAAGGAATGCCATCCTTCGCAGGAACGGGCCATGTCGCTTCCACCTGGAACCCCTTCCCCATCTGAGACTCTTCCCCAAATCTGTCCTTCCCCGAGGCTGTTGAACTTGGGCCACTGTGTTACAGGTTAGAACTCTGAATCAGAAGTCCTCCTCCCCTCAGCAATTAGTAGTGACTTCGGGCACAGTGTTCTCTAAGTCCATTCCTGTTCCAATGGCTGAGCAGTGGGCTTTTACCTTCTGGGCTTACTTTCTAGTAGTCGGCTGATTAGAAAGCCCAGGGTGGGGTGTTGGAGGGGAATGCAGCCAGGCCTGCATCTGTCAGCTCCGTGGCCTTGGACAAGGCCCTTAACCACTCCGAGTGTCCTCACCTGTAAAATGGTGATAACGATACCAACCTCGAGCCGAAACCGGTTTGGCTCAGTGGATACCAACCTCGAAGGCTGGTTGTGCGTAACTGTTACTATCATTGGCAATAACCATGTAGGAAAGTGACTGGAAAGTGCGGACTATCGATCTGTAAAGCATGGACGGCCATCGGATTGGGAGCCTGAGCCACTAGCAAAGGCAGTCACTGCCCACCTGGCCTCCCTCAGCCGGCCTTGGCTCTCAGAAACCCCAGCTCCCTGTGGATTCACATGATCTCGCGACCCAGATGCCCTGTCCATTAAACCTGTCCCTCCGCACTCATTCCAGCTGCTGGGAAGAAACAATGCCATGAGGACTACTCCTGAGACTTAGATGCATGAGCTGTGAGAGAGCAAACAGGAAAAAGAAAACCTCTTCTGTCTGCTTTGAGATTCATGGTGTTGATGTGTTCTGGTTAGAGTTTCATTGGCCTTGTCTATGAGATGGGGGCGGAGGGACTGACAAAGATAGAGTGAGTCAGTGTCTTCAAAGAGAAGGCTGCTACGGGTTCCAGAGACCACCAGCCTCTAGATAGCAGAACCAACCATCCACAGTAAGAAAAACAGATGGACAGATTAACCTCCTCCCAAGGACTGATGAGCTGCTCTTTGGAAGAGGAGGAGGATGAATCAACACCAAAATCAAGACCCGGCAGAAAGAGCGGAGCTGGGGCAAAGGCCCGGTCTCCACGTGGCTGCTGGGAGGCGTGGTGCTCGGAGGCGGAGCCGCTGATCACACCAGGATGTGTCCAGACCTCTGGCTATTGCTTTCTTGTCCTGGCCTACGGATCAGATGCTTTAGCCACTGAAAACGAATCAACTGTTGATTCTGTACTTTTTACAGGAAGCATAACTCTGCAGCAGGCTCATGGGGACGGGGGTTGGCAAGACAGGTCTCATAGTTCCTGGAATTCTGACTGGATCAGACCGAGCTGCCTGTGAGCTGGGCAGTGGCGTGGAGCAGGGGACAGGGCTGTTGTCTGAGCACCGCTCTGGGCAGGCTCCCCGAGGGGCGGGGGGTGGGGAGGGAGCTTGCCCAGCTCAAGACAAATCTGCCAGAGAGAGAAGCACAGCCCTTTGCAGCGTCCCTCGTGCCAACTGTGCTCCTCGCTAATTAGCTAATGGGCAATGTGTGTCTCGCAGACGCGGACTTCCTCGCCGCCCGACACGTGGGCCTGAGGAGCTGGCTGTTGGCCGTGACTGTGAAAAACAAACAGTTCTGCCGTCCACTTCATGGCAGCCGCGCTTCACAGCGGTCAGAGCAGTGGTGAAGCGGCAGGCTGTGTTCCTCCAGGCCTCGCTCGAGCCAGGGCCCAGTCCCTGCATCTGGCCAGGTGTGGGCCGGATGGATAGGTATCCCGGGGTGCCCTTGGCCAGGAGGCAGTCCCGTTGGGCACTGGTCGGGCTCGATTGCCATGGGAAATTGGGGGCAGTGCAGGTTGCAAGGCGATGCCTCTCTGGTGCCCACCGTGCTCAGTCTCCTGGCCCGGCTGTGCCCGGCCCCGGAAAGGAGAGCTGCTCTTCCTCTTCCGGCCACGCCCTCCGTGGCTAAGCTGTCGTTTCTTTCCCGCCTTCTCTGAGTGCCCTATTAACCCACTTCTGCTTCCTTTTCAGTGGCAGGATCCCGTATAAGGATATGTACAAATTAGTGCGGGTCATCTCGCCGCCTCTGGGCCTGGGAGAGAACTGCCCCTACAGGGTGGCTTGCAAGGTTTGCCTCCCAGTCCCCAGCCACGCCTGACGATGGGGTGCCACCTGGACCCCCCTCTGTTCTGCTCCACCCCCACCCACCACCGCGCCACCTCAGGGAACCTTCATGTTGCTTTCCTTTGAGTTTAAAGAGGTCCAACCCTCCCAGAACCAGCAGCTGTTACATTGGGGAAAAGGGCACGGTTGGAGGGGAGGGGAAGCAGGAAAAGGAAGAGCTGAGGGCTTAATAACGAAGGCCGTTTTGACCTCTCACTTTCTTCTTCACCTCCATGCACTCATTGGTGGGTGGACACACACATCCTTCCCACTCCCCTGTAATCTGCACATTTAACCAGAGAATGCAGAAACCTTTTTTAAAAAGCAGAGAGTTCTGGTCTCCCCTCACTGGAGACAGACACGCCTCCTTTTAGCAAAGTAGCATCATGGTCCCATATATAATGTCCCCAGGTGTGATTCCAGTCACCTTACCTCTGCCCGCCCTCTGGCACCTGGACAGTTATAAAAGCTGTAGGAAGAGGTGGTGAGAAACAATGAAGAATTAGGGCAAGAGGTGAGCGTAGGTAAACTGGGATCGCTTTGGGGGCGTGTGGAAGAATTCAGTAGCTCAGAAGGGCCAGGAAGGTCACAGTAGAGGGCAGTGGGCTCCTGAGCACATGTCCTGCCATAGGGTCCTGCCATATACTGTCGAGGGGCGGAAGTTGGGGGGGGGGCGGGGAGTGGGATCTGTTGTTTGTGAAGCCAAGGACATACATGTTCAGGGGCATCTAGGACCTCCTCTGCCAGACCCTGGGAGCTTACATCCCAGTGGCTCTGCCCAGCTGCATCCAAGGCCTAGCCCGCTAGATAAGGAAGCCTCGCTGGGTGCAGAAGGGAGCAGGGCTCCCTGGGGCAGAGCACAGCCCAGAGGGGAGGCTGGAAGAGGATGTAGGCCCAGGAAGGTGAGGCCCCAGGCGACGGGCAGGAGCTGGCTGGGGATGGTGACACAGTGATTCCCATACTCGGGAGGCCCAACAGCTGCCTCTGCTGAGACTCTTTAAACTTGACCCTGGTGCCACCTGCTGCCGCATGATGGGAGAGTGGGAGGGCAGCATGGCATGCAGGTGCTCTTCCTCCACCTGGCTTTGTCCTTCTGCCTCCAGCGTGCCATCGCCCTGGACATGCTGGCGAGACAAGGGCACTCCCCCCACAGGGCCAGGTGGAAGCAACGGCGACCCCGGCAGCAGCCACAGCCCACCACTGCCACGGCGCCGCCTCCGCTGCACACCCGGCACAGAGGGATACACGGCGCCCCGCCCGTGGGTTCGGAGCAGGAGAGAAGCCCGGGAAATTCTGACCCACGGCCGGAGCGCCGTCTATCCGGTTTATACCACGCGCACACAGCCCTGGGAATGGAGACAGGCTTGTGTTGTACGGGACGAAGGCGTGGCCAGGGGAGTAGGGTGATGCTAGGCCAGGAGGAGCGGACAGGCGAGTCCCGTGGCGGTGCCACTAGCGTTCCCGGGTCTGTGTGGGGCTGATATAAACCCGCACCAGGATGGAGTCACCTGTATGATTTGCCTTGATTAACAGGTTTCCTATTCTTTTCCTGTTTGTCCGTTCCGTTTTGTTTTCCTCTCGTGTTCGTATGATCTGTCTGTCTGTGTTGGCTTCCTTCCCCCACTTCCTTTCCCTGCCACCTGCCGCCCCTCCCTGAGCAGTGGCCGCATCCATTACACTGAGATGTATGAAATGCTGACTCTCATGTCACCACCGCTAGGCCTCGGCAAGAGATGTCCCTCCAAAGTGGCCTATAAGGTAGACCACCCCTTCCTTTGTTCTGGGCTAGCGACCAACCCACAATGGGGTCCAGCTGTGGGGAGGCCAGGCCGTGGGGAGGCAGCGGGGCTTGGGAGGCGGAGGAGGGAAAAAGGTGATGAGACGGAAGGGTCAGGAAGGTCCACGGAAGGATGCCGTCCCGAAATGACACAGCGGGTGGTTTGCAGTGCTGTTCACCGTGGGCTTTGTTCCGTGTCATCTGTGTTTAACGACAAGTGCGTGGCTTCCTGTGAGTGGCTTCCTACGAGGGGAGCGTTGAGTAGTGTGTCTGCTTTTAAGAGGAGGCAGAGTGGTGGCCTACAGGACACCTACGCACACAGCTGTCCGAGCAGATAGAAAAGGAGCACCTTCCATCAGAGAAGCTAAGGAAATAGTGTAGAAATGGCTCTCACCATGGCTCAAAGAGAAATGCTGCAGGAGAGAGGAAAACTTTTAACCAAGTTCTTCTTCCCTGATGTGGAACGGGGCTGCGGCCTGGTTCCTTCTAGGTCACATGAAGGAGGCACCTGACTCTACCCCGGGACCCCCGACATGGGATGCCGCTCCCTTTGCCCACCAGCCCCGCCGCCCACTTCTCTGGGCGACACAATGGGAAGGGGGACCGAGGGCCGAGTTGCCTTCAGGATTAGATTTCCCTTCTGGGCATGACTGAGTTTGGGGGCCTGGCCCTGCAGTTGTGGGGGGATTCCCCCCGGTTTGCATAGAGCAGCACTGCCCATTGGGAATCACCTGTCCTTCTGGAACTCATAGCTTTGAGGCCTGAGTTTTTTTTCCTCCACAATTAAGAATAGTTACTACTAATTCCCCTTCGGTGTTGAGACTGACCCAGAACACTGAGCTCTTTCATGCGCCTGGGGCTCCACAGCGATGTTGCCACTTTTCTAGATGCTTAAGGAAGTGGAGAGAGATGAAACTCAGATTCAAACAAGAAACTGGCCTGAGCCTCTGAGACACCATGTCTGTGGAATCCCATTACATGACATGTCCCCATGGAGTCTTAGAGGCCCCGCCTTAGGAAGAGACACATCCCTCCCTGCTAGGCTGGTGGTTCTTCCAGGGGACCTTCTCCTGCTTCTCCAAGTGGTAGCGGCCCAGAGAGGATCTCATTGGAACGGAGCCCTTAGGGACCCTCATCCACCCCAGCACATGGCTCCTCGTGCACAGCTAAGGGGCTGGCATCCTTCTAGCTCATGATGGCCACATTCCAAAATGCCAGATGGCGGAATGTGGCCCTGAGTTCTTCGAAGTTTGGGGATGAAGCTTGGTAAGAGAAGGCGTGTTGGGATTGGAGGAAACATTGAAAGAATTCCTAAAGCAAGATACTCTCTGGAAAGTGGATTTGGCCATTTCAGTGTGATCCCTTCCTTTGGGGGAGGGGAACACGGCCTGCCCACTCTGCTCCTGCCTCGTTCACCCTCCTCTCATGCTCTCTCCGCTGCGCCCCACCCCTCTCACCTGACCGTGTTTGTCTCTGCCCTTTCCCATCCTGCTCCACCTCATCCATTGGATAAGCTGGACTTCTGCATGTTCAGTCATGTGCTGGCAAATTCCATCTCTTAAAGACTCAAAAAGGGGGCATCAGGATGTCTCTTCAAGTCAGATAAGCAAAGCAAAATCTCCCCCTCCCTGTCTTTCCGTCTGAGCTTTGGGAGTGTTCACAGGACACGCGGAAATACAGAGCAACCTTGACAGGGAATGGAGCCCCCTCCCAGAGCTGACTCCGTTCCCTGAGCCTAGAAATCACTTCCTGTCCCTATGGAAGACATTCTTAGGACTGTGGGAGTCCTACAGAATGACCAGTCCCCTTCCCTTGGATTTTGGCATCATTCCGGGGGGGCGGGGGGCACAAAACAGCAGCAATGAGCCTCCAATGCGAAGTAGGGAGAGTAGGGTCGGGAGAGGTGGGGATCCTTGCCCTTCTTTTTTGTCTCTGCATTTGACTCTGCACTTGTCTTCCCCTCTCACCAAGGTTTCTTTTGATACGTCTTCCCCCTGCTGTTTCTCTCTCTCACCCACAGAGGTTGGTCCTGATGAATATGCCCGTGGCTGAGGACATGACAGTGCACTTCACCTCCACCCTGATGGCTCTGATCCGGACTGCTCTGGACATCAAGATCGCCAAAGGTGAGCCCAGCGAGGAGTAGCGATTCTGGAGGGGCTCATGCAGAGATGTCTGAACTGTCCCCCCTCCAACAATGCAGAGACCGGGAAATCCAGTACGGGGGTCCTAGTGTCTGCCTGAGGTTCAATAACTACAACGTTGCCCACTGCCTCCTGGCAAAATGAGCGGTTGCTCATCGCTAAGGCTCCTTTCAGCTTTAACAGTATGTGAGCCTCAGTGTCTGGCACATAGTAAGCAGTTTAGACAGAATGACGTGTTTATTCAACAAATGAGCTTTAATTGTGGCCTTTTTTTTCTTATGTGGCACCTTTAATGCCTTGGAAGGCTTCCATGGCGGGTGCTGTCATGGCGGGCCTTGCTTCCTCTGATTTTTAACTCAGTGACTTAGGAGAGAAAAGGTTTACTGCTTCCCAATGGGCCTCCAGCCCTCCTGCTCTTGCCTGATCCAAATCCTGTTTAAAACCAGGTCACTCCGACCAGAGTCGCTGGAAGAATTGATGTCCCTGTAATGAGGCAGGAGAGGTCGCCAAGTGGCTCTTTTCATTTCCCCTCTGATACACAGAGCACCTGGGAGGCTGCTCCAGTGAGTGAGGAAGCTGACCGTGGTCTCGGGGCCTCAGATCTCTGGGGCAGGATGTCCCTGAGTTACTGAGAATGGGAGTCCCATTGTGTTCTGCTGCTTCAGCAGGAAGACCCAGCATTGCAAGATCCACTGCCACTAAGAGCCGGGATGTCCCCAGAGAATACACGGTGCCATGCCGGTGCAGCTCCACTCCCTCCTTGTTCTGTCTCTGCGCTCTTTATTCATAGTTTATCTTATTCTATCAGGTGGTGCTGACAGGCAGCAGCTAGACTCGGAGCTACAGAAAGAGACCCTGGCCATCTGGCCTCACCTGTCCCAGAAGATGCTAGATCTGCTTGTGCCCATGCCCAAAGGTACGGCATCTCCCCTGGGTACCCTAGTCCCAGCATGCCAAGGCCGTATCTTTGAGGGGAACACAGAGTGATCGAAGGGATAAGGGAAACGTGTCCTTTTATCCTTAGGAAACGAAAAGCCTTCACTTCTTAAGTCCCCTTTGTCATTATTAATTGAAAACATTTTCTCAAATGGGGTCACTGTGGTTTTGGGTGAAAGTTTTTGGTGTGTAGCTCTCTCCTTCCCATAATACTATGCATCCAACCCTCATGCCGTTGGGAAAGGGGTGCTATTGGAGATGGAAATCTAGACCAGCGGCGGTGATGCTTACTAATGTCTTCTCCCTCCTTGGACGGCTGTGGAAGCTCCCTGAGAAGACATGTGGGGACCTGTTGACTTTGCATGCTCAGTGCCCGGCGCATACCTGCTTCAGAGGGTGGAGAACAAAGCTTGAGGCGTCCTCCCTCTCCCCCATCTGCCTCCTCTTTGGTCCTCCCATGCCACATTTGTGTTTTTCAGCCTCTGACCTGACTGTGGGCAAAATCTATGCAGCAATGATGATCATGGACTACTATAAGCAGAGTAAGGTGAAGAAGCAGAGGCAGCAGCTGGAGGAACAGGTGAAGGGCAACGATAGTAGGGTGGGTGGGTCATGCGTCACATGAGGGCTCCTGAGGGACAGGCCTGTGTATCCCTAGGGTTCAGGGTCCAGGAACTTTCTAGGGTCAGGGGATTAGAAACCCAGTGAGTCAAAGGTTAAAATAGTCAATTAAGATATCAGCCATGTTCCTATTTTATCCAAGTATATTGCATTTTCTGCCATAATCATTTGAGTTCCTTTCTTCTTCTACAGAAAAATGCACCCATGTTCCAGCGCATGGAGCCCTCATCTCTGCCGCAGGAGATCATCGCCAATGCCAAAGCTCTGCCTTACCTCCAGCAGGACCCCGCTCCAGGCCTGTGAGTAAAGCCAGAGGGCCACGGCTCTCCTGTTTGTGTCTGTCACTCATGCCAGTATGCAGGCCTGGGAATGTGGAAGGAATAATGCTAACTCTGAGCTGAATGGGCCTTTCTCTGAGGTTGAGAAGACGGGGGAGAGAAGAGCAGGTTAGTACTGGGGCCGCACAAGGGCAGGAACGGTATGTGTTAGTATCACCAGAGAGGTTAAATAAGTGGCCCAACGCCATATGGCTAGTAGAAAGCTAAACAGGAATTAAGTCATTTACTTCTAACTCTAGAATCTTCCCACTACACAATATGCAAAATAAACAAAAAGAAGCTTAGGTCAGGCACCAAAAAAAATTCTTTATTTTCTGTATTGGCAATGGAGACAAAACTCAATTAAGGAATCTGCCAGCTCTTTTGAGTTGTAAACCTTGGCGCCAATTTGGTCATACACATCTTATGGGAACATTATCTTTCTATCAAGCAAGTACTGAAGTAGCAAAGGGCATGAAGTGTAAATGAGCTTTCGTGATTGGATTTACTCCAGTCCTGCTTCTTAAGAAATCCGTAATCACTACACAACCTCTGTCAGAATGCCATTTAGGACCTCTCACGCCATTAATTTCTTTCTGCCTGTGGTATTGGGGACCTGGTTTTGAAAAGCATCATTTTCAGAGGTCACAACTCAACGCATTTGGAAGAAAAGGCCCAGATTCTGACCAGGGCCATGAATCGTTTCAGCAAACATTTGATGTGATGAGGTAGCAGGGTGTGGATTCTCCTGTCTGCAGAAAACAAGCAGATGTTGCTCTTTGATCTGTGCAGGAAGGAGGTAAGATGGCAGAGTGAGACCAACTCATTGGAAGGATTTAGTGTTTTCCAAGGGTTCTTGGCTTAGAAATGGAGGGGACCCCCCACAAACAATTCGATCTGTCTTATCCACACCAATTCACTGTACAAATTACCTCCCATCATAGGATCACTCTGTCTTCTCTTTCTCATTGATTTAACCAATATTTATGTGACTCCAAAGCTGGCTTAGGCACTGGGGATGTGGCAGTCAATATGATCACAGTCCCTGTAGAGACAGATCCTGAGAAAGATAATGGTTAAAATGCAGAAGGCAAGTTATTGTGATGCTGTGCAAATAAAGGAGGCGGCTGCCTACTTTGAGGGTGCAGGCGGCTTCCCTGAGAAGCAACAGGTAAGTGAGACTCGAAGGCCAGCTCTTCAAGAGAGGAGAGGCGAGATGTGGTCAATTTAAAGAATGCAACCTGTTAGGTGGAGCAGAGTTCATGGAGGTGGCAGGTTTTGAGCTTGGAGAGCGACAAGGGCCAGGACATAGGAGCCACACAAGCAGGACCCAGAAGTTCAGTTTCATCCAAGGATAATTCCTCCGAGTGACATGATCCGATTTGCACTTTACAAAGATCATTCGTGGTTCCAGCATGGATTCAGAGGATTGGAGGAGAGCAGTTCAAGAGACAGGACACCACTTAGTAAGTGACTGCAAAGGTGTAAATTAGTAATGACTGTGGAGGGAAGGTCAGACTTGAGAGGTAATGGAGGCTTCGGTGATTGCTGTGCTCTGTGGAGGAAGAAGAGGGAGGAGTCAAGGATGGCCCCCGGATTCTGGTGGATGTTGGTACATTTCCTGAGATGGGGACACTGGGGGAGCAGCCGGCTGCTTCCTCGGGACCATCTGTGTTTCTAGAGCTTTGCCTTGTTCAAGTAGAGACTGCTCAGAGGACACAGCAGTGACTCTGACAGACAGGGCTCCACCCTCATTAAGCATGCATCTGGTGGAAAACCAGACATGAAACAGAATTATTGGAAAGAAAAAACTATTTTCAGTGATTAATCACAGTTCTGGTAAGCGATAGGAAGAAACAAATGCAGTGTGAGCTGAGTGCATGTGAGAGGGAGATCTGATCAGTTACATGGGAGAGAGAACAGATTTCCTTAAGGGGGTGACTTTTGATAAGCATTTTGAAGGATGCATTAAAAATACCAGGGAAAGGTTTTTCAGGGGGCAGCCTGTATTCAGGCCTTGTAGCAGAAAGAAGCCTGCCACAGTCAATGAACGAAGTCCTGTGTGTCTGGAATTCAGGGAGCAAGGGCTAAAGTGTGTAAGCAAAGGCTTTTGAGGTAAGGACCAGATCATGGGAGAGGCCATGTTCAGGATTCTGGACTCGGTCCTAACGATGAGAAGCAGACAATGCTTTTGAAGTTGAAGGTCAAAGTATTCAACTCTGAGGTCGTTCAGTGATTCCAAGGGTCCTCTCTACATATTGGGGATTCTCTCTATGGGTAAATTATTTATTTTCTGTAGGGCAGAGGGGGACCTATTTCTTATAACAGCAGTGCTCACCTTGTTCCCAGCGGTTCTCAGGAGAAGACGATGGACATTAAGTCATTGAATAGCAGATGCTCTGTAGCAGTTGTGAAAATGCTGCTCTTCATCCCTTATCCTGTGATCCCAGTAAGTCGCACCTATGGAATATTTTGAAGCAACTGGCAGCCCTTGCTCAGGGCTCGGAGCCATTAACAGTAGACACAATTACGAGATGGCGGTCTTCATCTCTCTCTCCTAGCTGCCCAGTCACTGACCGCTCGCTGTCCCTCCTCCCAGGATCAGGAAGTTCACTCTTGAGCAGGTCAAAGGGTATCTATGGCAGCAGCAGCCAAAATTTTAGGACAATTGACTGACTCTCTCTCCTGACCCAGCCCCGTGGATCACATTGGCTAAGAGTATCTACAGGGACCAAACATGGTTTAGTAACAGGCAGCTTTCCATACCCTTCACTCAGAGCCTCTAAGTACTTGGCTGACTTTGTCGTGTTCTCTCACATCACCATTTAAGCGTTCTTCCACAAAGCCATCAACCCAGGGAAGGTCACCTCCTCCCCACCCTCTGGAATCCTTCCACCGAGCTCAGGAACCAACAGACACAGAGTCTGGCACTGAATTGTTTGGTTTGGCCAGGGATGTTGGCACAATAAAGCCATGTTCTTACTGAGCGTGGAGGAATTTTTTTAAAAGACCACGACTGCTTAATATTTAAACAGACTGTTCACTGTTTAAAGTATGGCATTTTTCCGCCTAATGGAGAAACCGAGCCGAAACCGGTTTACGATCCAGCATTGGTCTTCCATATGGCTGAGTGTGACAAATGATGTCATTCATCACAGACATGTGAGTCACCAGCCGAGTGAGGAAGGGTTCCAAATGCAGGTTGAAAACAGTGCTTTCTCTTTTCTAGTGTGTGTTTGTAGTTTGTTTTTTTAAGAGTTTCTATTCTAGGGCTAGGCACCTATAAGCTAAAAGCCCACCAAGAGTATTGGTAAAGGGTGTTGCCCTGGCTGGGACTTGGTAGTGGCGGCGATGGCATGCACTCATTACCTCTGAACGTGGCGTTGCTTTTCAGGAGTGGCCGGAGTGGGTACCCTTCGATGAGTCCGCTCTCCCCCCAGGAAATATTCCAGCTGGCGTGTATGGACTCAGCCGATGACGGACAGTTCCAGGAGGAGCAGGCTCTGGTGAGTGAATGAGTCACAAGACTTCCAAACAGTTCCCTAGTTTGCTGATCCCTCCCACTCTTTTTCAAATTTGATTTCATAGCCACAGTCCACCAGGAAAACCCTTTCTGTTCTCTCAACCAAGGACCCTGGGAGTTTCCTGCTGTCTCCCAGGAAACATGGAGACATGTTTCATGGAGGAATTTCTCATGTTCTCTGACAAATGCTTCCTCCTTAGGTTTTACCATCTCAAGGGCCCCTTATCTGCTGGAGGAGTTTATGTTGCTTCAGGCCAAGCCCTATTCATTAATGCCTTGGAGCATCATAAAATCTTGTCTTTGATAAGGAGTTTTAGGAGAAATCGTCATAGAATGAGTGGCACCCACTGGGCAGCTTAGCATAGTCAGGGATGCCCCGCCTCCTGGAGAATTCAGGGTAGCCTGTCCAACAGGGACAGTGTCCACCAGGAGATGCGAGAATCTCTTGCCTCTGCAGGTTCAGACCAATTGGCCACCATTTTAGAGGGTCAAATACATTCTGAGAGGTCCCTAAAATCACTTTCCTGAGCCCAAAGTTTTTCATTAGCATAAATGGTGAAATTCCCAAGAAGCCTACTGAGTCCAAGCTAAGCTTGAAGAAGAGAGGACAGGTTAAACTTCAGCTTTGATATTAGCAAACCCTAAACTGCTATTCTCAAAGATAACAGACTTGACTTACCATTATTCTTAGCTCAGCAGCCATGAAATTCCTGCCGAGATTAGAATTACAGCTCAAGTGGTTATTGCCTGGAGAGAAAAAGACAAAACCCAACATTTGCAAAAGTCCAGGTAGAAAGCTTGTACTGAGTTCCATGCCACTTGGATTATAATTCATCTGTGTTTTTCTCTCCCAACCCCTCCCCACTGCTCCTGTGTACCCCTGAGCTATCCTGAGGGGATGGTGTGGGTAGAGAGTGACCTGCATGTCTGATGGAATGGGTACCTGTCAGAGGGAGCAGAACATTTCAGTAGCTCAAACAAATGGGTGATTCTTCTCCTGTGGTTGCTGAGTCCAGGGAGTATACATGGTTGGGTAGGGGAGACAGCGAGACCACACACTGACTGGGATCCCAGCATGTGAGTGCCTGAGGGTATTCTTGGCAAGATGGGTGGGAAGCCTTGGAAGAATTATCTGAGCAAATTAGCACAAGGCCCAGGGACTAATTGGTACTGATAGCTTGATCCTTAAAAGGGCCTCTCAGCATTTTAAGGCTTGCCTGGTGATGTGTCTGGTGGGGAAAATCTCAATAATGTGTCCTTTCTTTTCACAGGGAGATTTCTTTATTTCTGCGGGTTCCCCCGGGGCTGAGCCGTAGTGCCAGGACTTTTGGATATGTGTTCATCTCATTGTCAGTACCGGTGTCTGTGATTCAGGTGTCAGCCTGTGCTCCACACTCACCACTGTGTACTCCTGCCCATCCCTCGGGGGCCCTGCTCTACGTGCTGAGGCGTGGCCATGACATGTGTATGTGTGTGTTGCACCACCTGACACTCGTAGACTGCAGTGTTGTTACCACATGTGTTTCGAGTCAGACTTGTGTACTATATAAAGCATGTCCTGCATACACTGACTTCCTCAAGTGCACACATCACAGGTCCTGGGATGCAGTCCTCCCACAGACACCGCTCAGCCAATGGTCATGGAGGCTGACTTTCAGCAGCGCCCTACTCAGACACCGGTGTTTTTAGAGTGTCATTTCCAAAAATAGCTTTTTTCTGGTATCATCTCCAGATGTCTGAGATATTCCTAGGTCGCTCTGTTTGGTGAGCCAAGTAAAATTTCTGAGGCAGCTCCACTCTCTCTGGAGTGACACTAGCCATCTCTTTAGAGCAGGTGCATTTGCCAAACTGACATTCTTTGACCAGGAAAATAACATAACAGGGTTGGACAGGACTTTAAAGATAGTCACTCTCACCTCCTAATGCTCTGGAGTGGCACAGTCCAGTACAATAGCCATTGCCCTCATGTGACGATTGAGGGCCTGAGATGTGCTCCAAGTGGAAAATGCATACCAATGTCAAAGACTTTGATACCCAAAAAGTGTCAAATGTCTCATTTTTTTACATTGATTATATATTGGCATGAGAATATTTGGATATATTGGGTTACATAAGTATATTAATTTTGATGTTTTTTTAATGTAGTTACTAGGAAATTTAAAATTACATAATTGGTCTGCATTATATTTCTATTATATACTGTACCAGTCTAGAGCATCCCTGGCAGATGTCCACCCACCACATTTTTTTTTTGAGACGATTCCAATCATAAGAAAACTCTTTGCTAATAAGATTGTGTTTTAAAAGGTTTGAGAAAATACATTTGACATCAGATATTTCTGACTTTCTTTAGAATACTGGTTTCCATATCGTTGATAAATAGAATAAACGCAACAGTACCAACTCTCAAAAAGTATAATGTTTTTATATAAAGCTATAAAATCTGAGGCATTGCTTAGTGATCTTTACCGTTTGAGACATCTGGTATACCACATATCTGCACATATAGACACACACAACAGACCTTAAAGATGCAAGTCTCTCTTCTAAAAGCCATTCTTGGTGTGGAGGAGGCAGGATCAGCCACTGGAAATGAGAAACAATGAGATGGAACCAAGTCCCACAAGCTTGGCTGTGTTTATTTCCAGGAGCCAGAGTTTAGTGAATTAAAAAGCGTGCAGCCCTCTAACCATGGCATCTACCTTCCTCCGGACACCCAGGAGCATGCGGGATCGGGGAGGGCATCCTCTATGCCACGGCTGACTGTGGATCCCCAGGTAAAAAGCAACCACCTACCATATGCAGTGGCATCCTGGGCTGTATTGAATTGGTGGGTTATGGAAAAACATCTGATATTTTCAGGTGAGCCTTGAACTTGCCCTCACCCCTTCCCTGTGAGCAAAACCTGGCTCATGGGCCTTCTCTCTACAACCTGCTCCTCCACACGTGCTTTCAATGGAGCCCTAAGCACAACAGCCTAGATAGCAAAATTCCCTCCAGATGGGTGCAACATCCTCCAGACTCAACCAGCCATGCAAGAAATATTTCCCAGGATTTCTGCTGTATATTTCTCCTTCCTTTTCCCTTTCCTGGCTCCTCAAGCATGTAGGCAGTTACTGAAACACACACAGCTCTGTGTCAGGACTGTCTGTCCTAACCAGTGCAGGCCACGCCTCATTTCTTTGTCTGTTTTCCTGGCTTCTTTTTTCTGTCTGTCTGTCTTACATTAAGTTTTGACAGAGACAAGAAGTTTACATGGATCTGTTTTTAGCAGCTGTAGCAAAGCAAAATGCCCAAGTTTAAGGTTGGAGGTGGGATGGATGATGGAGAACAACATGTTCCTAGTAGCTGCTCCATTACAAGGTCTTCTACGTTCTGGTGCTGTAGGACAGGCCTTCTCTGGCGAACGCCCAAGCCCAAGCCATGCTTCTTTCATGGCACAGATGTTTTGACAATTACGCTCACATATTCAAAGTGGCTCAAGGTTCAGAGCAGGTCCTGGCTGAGTCCCTGTGGGAGGTGGCTTTATGGGAAGCTTGCACATTCCCTCCAGATGGGCGCTTGCTCTCCTGAGCATAAAGGGGAGACCCTGGACCAGTGATGTAAAGACCTAACATAAAGACACTTTCCGCCATAGCCTCCTCCAGCTAAGGTCTAAGCAAGAGGGATTCAAGGGTGGTCACAGTTTGCAGTCTTCAGCCACCTCAGTCCCACTTCTTTCTTTTAGACCCATTCAGTGATTAATCCCTACCTTGTGTTCCTCGGGGGGGCTCATGTTTCCAGGTAGTAACAGACCCCAGCTCCATGAGACGTTCGTTTTCCACTATTCGGGACAAGCGTTCAAATTCCTCGTGGTTGGAGGAATTCTCCATGGAGCGAAGCAGTGAAAACACCTACAAGTCCCGGCGCCGGAGTTACCACTCCTCCCTGCGGCTGTCAGCCCACCGCCTGAACTCGGACTCCGGTAAGGAGGTCTCCCCTGTTCGCCTTTCAGGCTCCTGCCTGGATGGGCAGGTTCTGGCAAGGACTGGAGGTCTCTGGAAGAGAATTGCGACGAGGGTTAAGGAAGGGTGCTCCTTACCCAAAGGGTCCCGTATCTGACGCACACCCTGAAACAGGCCCAGGAGATTCTTCCTTGCAGACGTCATTAGAATTGAGGTTCTCAGAGGGTCTGCAGAATGCTTGGGGTTCCTTGGGAATGTATTAGAGACCCCTAACAGGGGCTGGGCTTTAAGCACCAAGTCCACTTCAGCCCAGAGAGTGCTACCCGGCATGGTTTTGCGTATTGGAGCTTTCTTATTTTGCTAGATGAACAAAGATTTAAAAAGCAGTGACTTCCCTGTATCATAGGGCCAGTAAGCGGCAGGCTTGAGAATAGAACTGAAGTCCAAGGATTCTCAATGGCACAGCTGAGGTAATGCCAGGGTATTTAGTTCATAGCAACTTCTTAATTTCCTTCTACTGCTGTCATCTTCACCCCTAAAGTTACACACCCATGTTCAGGACATAGAGGATTGCTGGACCCTTTTGTTGGCAACGATTCTGAACTGTGTTGTAGCTTTATGCTACAACAGGAGCAGCAGGAGAGAAATGATTACATCCTTGGACATGCACGGCTTCCCGTGGCAACTCGCACACTCACCTGGTAGCCCAGGGGTGATTCTCTGGCCTTTCTCTCCCGTCTCCCTTTCAGATCACCTGCTGACACGCCCGGAGAAGCCAGGGCCTTGGGCGCCCAGTCCCAGGCTCCGAGACTTCTCTTTCTTTTCAGAGTTGTGATCAGTTGCTTTTGTCATCTTTCCCAGGCCACAAGTCCGACACCCACCGCTCAGGGGGCAGAGAGCGGGGACGATCGAAAGAGCGAAAGCATCTTCTGTCCCCCGATGTCTCCCGCTGCAACTCAGAGGAGCGAGGGACCCAGGCCGACTGGGAGTCCCCAGAGCGTCGCCAGTCCAGGTCGCCCAGTGAGGGCAGGTCACAGACGCCCAACAGACAGGTGAGCATGGACAGGAAGCCAAGCCTCTGCAGAAAGACCAGGAAGGGTGGTGGTCATTGACGTTAGGTCCAAAAGGAGGAGATGCTGTGTGCTCTAATATGAATTCACAGAAAACCAGACCACCCCCCAAGAAAGACAATGGTGTCTACGGATCATTCCACTCTTCAGAATCTTGAGGTACAAAGTCCCAACAAATAAGTTCACAAATGTCTCAGCCAGATTTAGAGGTGAAGGATGGTCCGTTAGCCAGAAAATGCTCATGGATCAGTCACATGAGCCTTGGTATGCGTTGGAACAGTGATTCAAGTTCATTTCCCTGGCTGTCAGCCTCCTTCCAGCCTATTGTAGAAACACCAGCCTGTGCCTAAGAAATAACTACCAGAGCCATTCTCTGGCCTGCTTTCCTCCTCACGACCATCCCCCACTTCTCCCCGAGGTTCTCAGAGCCCGGATGGGAGGCCCGCTCGACAGCAGTGGGACAGTCAGGACCTGGGGAAGTGTGCTTCTAGAGCGGTGGTTTTCAAGTTTTTCGTGCAGAAGAGAATCCCCTGTGGCTTATTAAAACGGCACACGCCTGGCACCTTGAGGAGGCTGTTTCGGTAGTGAGGCCCGTGTAGTGATTCTGCACAGGGAGGGACCCTTCCCCGGGAGATTTGGAGCCGGTGGCTCCTAGGTCACACACACCTTGAGAAACTGTCCTGCAGGTCCGTTTACTAACACCTGAGCCCAGGGACCCTGGGGAATGCCTGAGCAGGTCAGGTAAGGCCTGAACCAGCAGATGAGTAGAGCATCCCTGGCAGATGTCCACCCACCACATTTTTTTTTGAGACGATTCCAATCATAAGAAAACTCTTTGCTAATAAGATCATGTGTTTTAAGGTTTGAGAAAATACATTTGACATCAGATATTTCTGACTTTCTTTAGAATACTGGTTTCCATATCGTTGATAAATAGCTTCTTAGGTTAAAAGAATAAACGCAACAGTACCAACTCTCAAAAAGTATAAAAGCCCAAGCCATGCTTCTTTCATGGCACAGACGTTTTGACAATTACGCTCATATATTCAAAGTGGCTCAAGGTTCAGAGAAGGTCCTGGCTGAGTCCCTGTGGGAGGTGGCTTTATGGGAAGCTTGCACATTCCCTCCAGATGGGCGCTTGCTCTCCTGAGCATAAAGGGGAGACCCTGGACCAGTGATGTAAAGACCTAACATAAAGACACTTTCCGCCATAGCCTCCTCCAGCTAAGGTCTAAGCAAGAGGGATTCAAGGGTGGTCACAGTTTGCAGTCTTCAGCCACCTCAGTCCCACTTCTTTCTTTTAGACCCGTTCAGTGATTAATCCCTACCTTGTGTTCCTCGGGGGGGCTCATGTTTCCAGGTAGTAACAGACCCCAGCTCCATGAGACGTTCGTTTTCCACTATTCGGGACAAGCGTTCAAATTCCTCGTGGTTGGAGGAATTCTCCATGGAGCGAAGCAGTGAAAACACCTACAAGTCCCGGCGCCGGAGTTACCACTCCTCCCTGCGGCTGTCAGCCCACCGCCTGAACTCGGACTCCGGTAAGGAGGTCTCCCCTGTTCGCCTTTCAGGCTCCTGCCTGGATGGGCAGGTTCTGGCAAGGACTGGAGGTCTCTGGAAGAGAATTGCGACGAGGGTTAAGGAAGGGTGCTCCTTACCCAAAGGGTCCCGTATCTGACGCACACCCTGAAACAGGCCCAGGAGATTCTTCCTTGCAGACGTCATTAGAATTGAGGTTCTCAGAGGATCTGCAGAATGCTTGGGGTTCCTTGGGAATGTATTAGAGACCCCTAACAGGGGCTGGGCTTTAAGCACCGAGTCCACTTCAGCCCAGAGAGTGCTACCCGGCATGGTTTTGCGTATTGGAGCTTTCTTATTTTGCTAGATGAACAAAGATTTAAAAAGCAGTGACTTCCCTGTATCATAGGGCCAGTAAGCGGCAGGCTTGAGAATAGAACTGAAGTCCAAGGATTCTCAATGGCACAGCTGACGTAATGCCAGGGTATTTAGTTCATAGCAACTTGTTAATTTCCTTCTACTGCTGTCATCTTCACCCCTAAAGTTACACACCCATGTTCAGGACATAGAGGATTGCTGGACCCTTTTGTTGGCAACGATTCTGAACTGTGTTGTAGCTTTATGCTACAACAGGAGCAGCAGGAGAGAAATGATTACATCCTTGGACATGCACGGCTTCCCGTGGCAACTCGCACACTCACCTGGTAGCCCAGGGGTGATTCTCTGGCCTTTCTCTCCCGTCTCCCTTTCAGATCACCTGCTGACACGCCCGGAGAAGCCAGGGCCTTGGGCGCCCAGTCCCAGGCTCCGAGACTTCTCTTTCTTTTCAGAGTTGTGATCAGTTGCTTTTGTCATCTTTCCCAGGCCACAAGTCCGACACCCACCGCTCAGGGGGCAGAGAGCGGGGACGATCGAAAGAGCGAAAGCATCTTCTGTCCCCCGATGTCTCCCGCTGCAACTCAGAGGAGCGAGGGACCCAGGCCGACTGGGAGTCCCCAGAGCGTCGCCAGTCCAGGTCGCCCAGTGAGGGCAGGTCACAGACGCCCAACAGACAGGTGAGCACGGACAGGAAGCCGAGCCTCTGCAGAAAGACCAGGAAGGGTGGTCGTTGACGTTAGGTCCAAAAGGGGGGCACCCAGCACCCACACAGACCTAGATGCTGTGTGCTCTAATATGAATTCACAGAAAACCAGACCACCCCCCAAGAAAGACAATGGTGTCTACGGATCATTCCACTCTTCAGAATCTTGAGGTACAAAGTCCCAACAAATAAGTTCACAAATGTCTCAGCCAGATTTAGAGGTGAAGGATGGTCCGTTAGCCAGAAAATGCTCATGGATCAGTCACATGAGCCTTGGTATGCGTTGGAACAGTGATTCAAGTTCATTTCCCTGGCTGTCAGCCTCCTTCCAGCCTATTGTAGAAACACCAGCCTGTGCCTAAGAAATAACTACCAGAGCCACAGGGGGCAGAGAGCGGGGACGATCGAAAGAGCGAAAGCATCTTCTGTCCCCCGATGTCTCCCGCTGCAACTCAGAGGAGCGAGGGACCCAGGCCGACTGGGAGTCCCCAGAGCGTCGCCAGTCCAGGTCGCCCAGTGAGGGCAGGTCACAGACGCCCAACAGACAGGTGAGCATGGACAGGAAGCCAAGCCTCTGCAGAAAGACCAGGAAGGGTGGTGGTCATTGACGTTAGGTCCAAAAGGAGGGCACCCAGCACCCACACAGACCTAGATGCTGTGTGCTCTAATACGAATTCACAGAAAACCAGACCACCCCCCGAAGAAAGACAATGGTGTCTAGGGATCATTCCACTCCTCAGAATCTTGAGGTACAGAGTCCCAACAAATAAGTTCACAAATGTCTCAGCCAGATTTAGAGGCGAAGGATGGGCCGTTAGCCAGAAAATGTTCATGGATCAGTCACGTGAGCCTTGGTATGAGTTGGAACAGTGATTCAAATTCAATTCCCTGGCTGTCAGCCTCCTTCCAGCCTATTGTAGAAACACCAGCCTGTGCCTAAGAAATAACTACCAGAGCCATTCTCTGGCCTGCTTTCCTCCTCACGACCATCCCCCACTTCTCCCCGAGGTTCTCAGAGCCCGGATGGGAGGCCCGCTCGACAGCAGTGGGACAGTCAGGACCTGGGGAAGTGCGCTTCTAGAATGGTGGTTTTCAAGTTTTTCGTGCAGAAGAGAATCCCCTGTGGCTTATTAAAACGGCACACGCCTGGCACCTTGAGGAGGCTGTTTCGGTAGTGAGGCCCGTGTAGTGATTCTGGATATATTGGGATCTCTCACCGGGATCGCTGTGCTTCCACTGCCCCTTCCCACTTTTCTAAAAGCCGTGGATGAGGGCAGGTCACAGACGCCCAACAGACAGGTGAGCACGGACAGGAAGCCGAGCCTCTGCAGAAAGACCAGGAAGGGTGGTCGTTGACGTTAGGTCCAAAAGGGGGGCACCCAGCACCCACACAGACCTAGATGCTGTGTGCTCTAATACGAATTCACAGAAAACCAGACCACCCCCCGAAGAAAGACAATGGTGTCTAGGGATCATTCCACTCCTCAGAATCTTGAGGTACAGCAGCACCCACACAGACCTAGATGCTGTGTGCTCTAATATGAATTCACAGAAAACCAGACCACCCCCCAAGAAAGACAATGGTGTCTACGGATCATTCCACTCTTCAGAATCTTGAGGTACAAAGTCCCAACAAATAAGTTCACAAATGTCTCAGCCAGATTTAGAGGCGAAGGATGGGCCGTTAGCCAGAAAATGTTCATGGATCAGTCACGTGAGCCTTGGTATGAGTTGGAACAGTGATTCAAATTCAATTCCCTGGCTGTCAGCCTCCTTCCGGCCTGTTGTAGAAACACCAGCCTGTGCCTAAGAAATAACTACCAGAGCCATTCTCTGGCCTGCTTTCCTCCTCACGACCATCCCCCACTTCTCCCCGAGGTTCTCAGAGCCCGGATGGGAGGCCCGCTCGACAGCAGTGGGACAGTCAGGACCTGGGGAAGTGTGCTTCTAGAGCGGTGGTTTTCAAGTTTTTCGTGCAGAAGAGAATCCCCTGTGGCTTATTAAAACGGCACACGCCTGGCACCTTGAGGAGGCTGTTTCGGTAGTGAGGCCCGGGGGAACGAGGGAAGAGAATAGGCTCATTTTGACCTAAGCTGGATGGTTTCATGCCCTTTATCTGGCAGCCTATGAAAAGGTAGACCTGGAAGATGATTTCATTGGTGACTTCTGTGGGCTCCTGGAGAGTTCTGTTCTTCTGATGACCCAACAAGATAGATATTCTAAGTCAGGGGTCCTGAAACTTTTTAAACAGGGGGCCAGTTCACTGTCCCTCAGACCGTTGGAGGGCCGGACTATAGTTTAAAAAAAAACTATGAACAAATTCCTATGCACACTGCACATATCTTATTTTGAAGTAAAAAAATAAAACGGGAACAAATACAATATTTGTATTTGCATGTGGCCCGCGGGCCGTAGTTTGAGGACCCCTGGTGTAAATAAATGAGGCATGCGGCCCGCCGCCCGCGAGTTTGACATGCTTGGTGTAGAAGCTGATGTTAACCTCGGGGAGCCAATGAGGACAGGGAGGCATGCCCTTCCCTCAGACACACTTCCCAGACGAGCAACCCCCGAGCATTTGTGCTCCTCTCGACACTTTCAAGTCTGTCTATCAATGGGCCACTTGTTACATACGGGGGGGGGGGGGGCAAAGTAGGTTTACAGTTGTTCGTATGGAAAATTAAACTGTTTCACGTACTCACAACTGGAAACCTACGTTTGCTTTGCCCACGCCTGTACATAGAGCTTTCAGATCCTTGCTACTCAGCGTGCCTGGGCCGTGGACAGCAGCGCCTGGGAGCCCGTTAGACATGCACAGTCTCAGGCTCTCCCAGATCTTCTGGGCCTGGACCTGTAGTTTAGCAAGACTCCCAGAAAACCGAACCCAACCTGTCTCACAAGCTGACATGCCCCAATCTGAATGGTATTGGTGTCTCGCTCTCCTGTCATCCCTGCATGGATGTGACTGGGAGCAGAGGGGACTCCAGCCCAGACCCCTTCTCCAGGGCTTTCTGGAGATGGTTAGGGACCTTAGCAGGGCCCCACGCAGGGAGCGTGCCCAGCCCAGTCTCACCTGCCACGTCTCTCCTGTTGTACAGGGCACGGGCTCCTTGAGTGAAAGCTCCATCCCCTCCATCTCTGACACCAGCACCCCAAGACGAAGTCGTCGGCAGCTCCCACCCGTCCCCCCGAAGCCTCGGCCCCTCCTGTCCTACAGCTCGCTGATTCGACACACGGGAAGCATCTCTCCCCCGGCGGATGGGAGCGAGGGCGGCTCCCCGCTGACCTCCCAGGCTCCGGAGAGCAACGACGCTGGCCTGCCCGAGTCTTCCAGGCCCCCGCACGGCCACCCCTCCCCGCAGCGCTACATCTCCGAGCCCTACCTGGCCCTGCACGAAGATGCCCAAGCCTCGGACTGCGGCGAGGAGGAGACGCTCACCTTCGAAGCGGCCGTGGCCACCAGCCTGGGCCGTGCCAACACCATCGGCTCAGCCCCGCCCCTGCGACACAGCTGGCAGATGCCCAACGGGCACTATCGGCGGCGGAGGCGTGGGGGCCCGGGGCCGGGCATGATGTGTGGAGCAGTCAGCGACCTCCTGAGTGACACGGAAGAAGACGACAAATGCTAGAGGCTGCTCCCCCCTCCGATGCATGCTCTTCTCTCACACGGAGAAAACCAAGACCGAATTGGGAAGCCAGTGCGGCCCGGGGGGGAGGAGGAGGGAAGGACCGTGTGCTTATCAGAGGAGGAGGAAAGGACCAACGGCAACCAGTCGAACCCACCAAATTGCTTTACTTCCCTTTGCGAGATGGGCACTGCCATAGTTCTGCCTCTTTGCTGGGGAAAGAAGACGAGAGAACAGGGAGGGTGGCCCCTGGAGAGGGGACACCGGGATCGCTCTGCTTCCGCTGCCCCTTCCCACTTTTCTAAAAGCCGTGGAGGAAGTGAGCTGGCCTGTGTCCATGTCCATTGCCCTGCGACGCCTGGAAGCCTTTCTGGCTCATAATTGGGGGGGCGGGGGGTTGTGGCGACCCTAGGAGGGGAGTCTCCTCCCTCCCTCACCAGCTCCCCACCAGCACCATCCGCTGGGGCCACTGCATCTCACGCGTCACCCTGGGGCTGGCTTCCCCAAAGAAGCACAGACTAAGTTCAGGAGCATCGGATGCCAGGGGTGGGGCGGGGAGGGAGGGGTGGCGTGGAGGGGTCAGGGTGCTGTGGCAGCAGCAGCCAGGGCTGGTCTGGACCAGCAAAGCCATAGCCCAGCAGCCCACGTGGAGGAGCGGTCAGAGCAACGGTGCTGGGGCGGCAGGCCTATCACGCGCAGTAGGTGCTTTGAGTGTTAAGATGGGCTAAGGAGGTCCCCCGGGGTCCACAGACATGCCTGCGGCGCTGGTAAGGGTGGTGTGGCCAGGGCCCCAGCTGATGAGAACGGGGTCTGGCCTTAGGCTGGTCAGAGGGAGCCCTGAGGGCAGGGCCATGTGGCAGGAGCACCAAGGGCCTCAAGGCAGAGTCTGTTTTCCACCCAGAATAGAAGTAATTCCGAGGGGGGGACAGTGCTGCGGCAGGACCAGCCCAACCTGGCTGGCGGCCGTGGGCCTCTGGGCCCAGCCTTCCCTGCCACTCCCCCAAGGAGATGGTACGCCTAGTAGGGACTACGATAGAGGTGGGAAAGGCTAGCACATTGAAACAGAAGCATCGGTAAGAGTCAGAGTTTACCGGGATCTCCTGCGTCTGCCTCGTGGCGGAGGGCCCGTGTGTCAGGGTACGTCAAGGTGATTAGTTAATATACCTCAGCTGAGACCTGGGCTGCAACTTCTAGTGGAACAAACTCTAATGGGCCTTGTCACCCAGTGTGACAGACCGGGGCCCTATTTCTCTGGGCCAGGACTGTGCTGTACCCCCTCCCTCCCAGAGTAAGAGCTGAGCAGAAGACAGCCTCAGGCTCTCCTTCCTAACCCCCAAAACTCAGAAGCATAGAGGAAAATAGAGCCCTTACTTGGCGAATCTGTGTGATCGTCCATTTGGCGTTACGCATCACTGTCTCGATCCGGTGGAAATGCAGTCCCCTTCAGGCCCTCCCAGGTCCCCCAGCACCTTACAGTGGGTAGAAGGGTCCCCTGCAGAGGGGTGCAGGCAGGGCCCTCCTTTCTCAGCCAGGAGCAGAGGGAGCCTGCTTCTCAGAACCCTCCAGAGGAAGGCGCAGGCCCCTGGACCAAGATCCAGTGGGTAAGCACCCCTAAACTCCACGTCCCCTAAACGACTCGCCTCTTGGATAAGGAGCAGCCAGTGACTTATTTCTCTTAGAAGGAGCCTCTGTTTCCTTTCTTTTTTCGGTTGAAAGAGAAGTAAGGCATTGCCACATCAGCTCTGAGAAGCCAAATTCATCCCTGAGGCTGCAGATTCCTTTATCATGGCCCTGGCCTTCTCATCTAGATATTAACGGAGCCTCATGACCCACCGTCTGCCCCCAAACCAAAGTAATCCCAGGGTGGGAGACCAGTGAGGCAGAGAGAAAGGCCTTCCCAGCTCAGACCCTCTCCCACTCCTCCCGTGAGCCCAGGAGGAGTTGGGGATGCAAACAGGACTCTACAGGCATGATGGTTACATAAGACTCTGATGCTGGGCCTTGTGTTGTTCGAAAGGTTTCCTCTGCTCAGCGTCATTTCATGCCAAAGTGTTGCTAGGGGCGGTTTGTGTGCACAAAATCGCTTTCTTCCGCCTCGGAAATGCAGCTTTCCTATGGGCCAGGCCTACACCAGGACTACCATTCTGAGCCAACGAGTCTATTGCATTGTTTGGCGAAAGGGAACTGAAGTGATACCTTGAGCCGTCTCAGTAGTAGGGGAAACTCGGGTGGGCAGAGCAGTTGCTGGGAATGGAACCTGCCTGCAAACAGCATTGCAAACACTAAACTTGCTGGCCAGGGAGCCTCCTGGGCACCTTACATGCACACCGGCACGTGAGTCCTGAATAAAGAGGCAGAAAGCACCGCAGATACAGTCCCCTGACCAACCACCTGGGTTTTTCTAGTTCCAGGGAACTTAGGAACGCTTCCATTCACCTTCCCCTGACCAAGAAATCAGGTTTCTGATCCCTTAGCCTGCATTCGCCCTTCTATCCATACCAGAAAATCAAAAAAATTTCGGCTAAGTCACGGGACTCATGATCATAATCGTCTTATAGAAGTTTCCTTCCGCCTCTGAAAGAACATATACTCCAACCGTCCCTCAAATAATCGGCCAGGATATTTCAGGGTCTCAGATTCTGCCTTTTCGCTTTCCTGGGAAGAGGCCCCTTCAGATCGCAAAACCCATGCTTGTATTTGGATTCGAAATTAGGGCAACATCTTGAGAAATTGCAAGCAATAGAGGATGAGTGCTGCTGTTGGAGATACACAACGTGATAACATTGAGCACTGTAGGTCCCTTCAAGAGAATCTTCAGCTGTATGTCCAAGTTTCCATTGTAATATTAGTCCTTAGCATCTCCTCAAAACAAGAGAGAGGGAATGAGAAAAAGAGAGGAGGGGGTGTGTGTGTCCCAGACTCCCAGCAGGCCTTCAGACACGGGATGAACTCTAGATGCCAGATCCAGGCTTCCTCTTAGTCAAGATCAGGAAACATTTACTGCACCATAAAGGGGTGGTGGCCTGTCCATCCTTCTAGCTGAAGAATCCATTTCTATCCTGGGCTTCCCTACTTCATGTCCTTGTGGGGTTCTGAGATCACTGAGAACGTTTCTCCGAAGCTGAACTCCAAATGTTCAGAATTTTGCCCTCCCTTGACTCTGAGGCCACAAAAGAAAGACCCCCATATTCCATAAATCTACCAGCATCTCCCTTCCTGACCCCCCCCCCCCCCCCCCCCCCCCCCCCCCCCCCCCCACCCCCCCCCTTCAAAGTGTGGTAAACAGTGCCCTCTGTTCTCCATCCCAGCATTGTTTTGCTGCATGCTAACACTGGCTCGGCTCCTAAGATGGCTAAATCTACCCGATCCAAGCTTATTTGCTGACCTGCCTCTGCTGTCCTCACTGCTCCTGGACAACGCTTTATTCTCATGAAATGCAGGTGGGAACTCGCCAGATGATCCGAAATAGTGTAAGGTGCTGGATTGTTCGGAGGAGTGGGGAATGTGTGTGAAATGTCCACGGACGCAATGAAAGCCCTCAGCAGGGAAATTAGGTCTCTCCGGGCATAATGGAACAAAATTTAATAATTTGGTTTTTTAAAGAACGTTCTCAATTTTTCATTACATTCTATTTCTAAAACCTGCTCTGGATGTCTTGTTTTTGGACAGAGTATTTCTTTAGTGGGTCGAGCCAGGGATAAGTTGAGAAGTGCTTCCATTTCTCAGCCTACCTACAATATATTAGATGTAAATATTATAAGGTTGTATTAAAAAAAAGGCGGGGGGGTGGGGGGGCAGATAGTTAACCTAACCTACCTTGCAGGGATCTGTGAGACTTGAAGGTTAAGGAACTTTGCTATTTTTATCAGCTTTACATCTGCTGTGTTTTGAGATCCTCAAAGGCCTGGCGTAAAGAATGGTGGTGAGGAGAGGCACTGCCATGTCTTGGGGTAGACTCTCTCTCACTTGCTACACACACATCCTACCTGTCCTTCCCTCCTGGATTCTGGGACACTGAGGACATTAAGATGCAGAAAAGATGGAAAAAGTGGGCCCCTTGTAAGTGGCCAGTCAGGGCATAACAGTTTAACTCCATTCAAAAGCCCCATAAAGAATCAGGTCCAGGTTCAGATAACTATATATCCACACTGAGACTCTCAACAAAAACCAAAGGAAATGAACTCAGCAGTTGGGACCTAACCAATCCATGAGGAGATCCCACATTCACAAGCACTGCCTGGATTAGCCTCTTTGTCTTTTTTGATTTTTGATCTTTCCTCTCTGAACTGCCTAGTACACCGTAGCGAGGCCTAACCCAGCGGAGCAGCAGCCGATGGCTCCTCTGCTGGCTGCGGTCACAGGCTCGGCTACAGACTGCCGGGGTCCCAAGCTGCTGCTCACCCAGTCATAGAATATGGACGTACCACTAGGGGGGACAAAAGCCTAGGGACAGAAACAACCATCTTTGGTTTCTGATGGCTACCTTTTTCTTCCCTTGAGTCCTTTCTGCTCCGACCCTCTGTGGCTTCTGCATCCCAGAGAGATCACTCTAAGCCAAAGATGATAGATTCACAGGTTGTCCCAACTACCCAAAGGGCCTGGAAAGCTGCTCTCACAGAACTCAAGCCAGTTGAGAAGTGAGAGTGGGACTCACAGCAGAGTCTAGTTGCATGGCAGGTGAGGCTGGTGCCCCAAGCTGCCCCTTCTATTTTTGTAGTCTTGCTTCCTTCTGCTCTCGGCCCCAAGCTAATAATAGGGGGGCTAGTATCTTGACCTTCAAAATGCAAAAACCGATTTTATAATAAGCCATGCTACTATGTAAATACGTTTTTGAGGTTTGAGTTCTAATTTCTGGGAGTTGAGTAGATCAGGTAAAAAGAGGTAGGGGATGTGTGTTTATTTTTATTTGGGTTTTTGTAATAGATCTGCTCTACAAGGTCCCAGAAGGATAAATGTGTGCTCTGCAGTGTTTCTAGGAATTAATTATTGTCCAATTGAATGATGTACCAACTGAGTCAAAATCCCAGGTTATACACCACCAGCCCCCTCTTCTCTCTAGGGCTTGCTTTTTGTCTTTCTCCTTTTCTCCCTGTTTCTCTATCCCTATCTCTTTGTCTCTTCTCCTTCTATGGACCTAAAATGTAATCTAGATTAATGAAAAACTTCCAAGGAAATAATAGAATGAATACAGAATTTTTCAGGACATCTTTAACCAATAAATACAAAGTTTGTGTCTTTATGAGAAGATCAACCCATTTAAAAGCAGTATAGTAATTGGGTAAGTGAAAATTATTGGGAGTCAAAAATAAAAAATTATATTCTAGCCTACTATAGGCACTTGTGCCTCCAGCAAGGGTATTCCATCTCTTTCTTTCTCATGTTAGGAAACTTGAAATTTTCCTAACTTGTGGCTAGCTCATGGGTGTGTCGAGTATTTTTAAGTTAATAACTCATCAGTTAAAGCTCCTAGTCTCAACTTGAAATCAACTTGAAAAAAGTCTGTAAAATTCTTGGCATTGCTATGAACATTTAATTTTTTAAAGAACCTTCATGGTTAAGAGAACCCACATCCAGGATTTGCTTTAATTTCCCATTCTATCCATTTCCCCTCTTTTTTTTTCTTCTTAGCTTTCTAACCAGAACAACTATCCAGACTTTTTTCTTTCTGAGTCCAGGAAGAAAGCCGAGTTTTCATGCTCAGAGCTTCCCACTGTCTTCTCTTTGTGGACACGTAAGCTGATCTTAAATCAAATAGCCACAAGCTAACACTAAGGCTCTTCACCAAGACCTACTCAACGGAGGAAATCCGAATAAGCCTGCCTCTCCCTCATTCTGCCAGCTTGTCAGAAATAGGAATGGATCGCTCTCTCTTCTGGAGCCAGGGCCCAGAATGTTTACCAGGTAGTGCCACTTCTACCTGGTTCACTCAGAGGGGGGGCCTAAAGCAGACTAAATCAGACAAAACTGCCGAATCCAGATCTGACCTTATTGGGTGACTCGCTTTTCTTTCCAGTCCTCTGATTTCTTATAGAGATGGTCTGTATTACATGGAAACTGCCACTCAAAGCTAGTCTATTAGAATCCTTCACAAGGGATGAGCAGGAAAAACACACTCGAAAATTTCAAAGTGCCGTTAATTTTTAAAAATAAAGGTGATATGAAATGAGGGCTAAACAATGTCATCTAACTGCCAATTGAAGTATACAGTAGTCCTGCTCTTTGTTACATTTGATACGGAGTTGCATAACATTAAGCAGCCTCCAGCCGATTTAGTAGAAACATAGGTATTGAATTTTAATGGCTACCAATGGGGATATCTACTCAGCCCACCGGCCAAACGTCAATTAGTGTTTTTCTATCCTGGAGTTTTGTGACCAAGCCAACATTTATACAAAGCCACCCTAAGTGCTGCAATTGCAGAGGAACCTCCCTCTTAAAAGACCATTCCTAGGTGGTTAATAAAGAACTATTCATTCATAAGGTATCAGCTCTGAACAGGAATAAATCATGCAATGCTTTGCAGGACATTAGAGAGCAGTCCAACTCCACGCAAATGGAATCCATCGTTTGGAACTCACCCAGAAAAACAAATCGAGGAGAAAAATGGCACTAAATGTGTGTGGCATTTCATAGCTGAGACAACTGGGGTAGAGGCTAGGAAGACAAGCTGTAGACCAAAGACAAGGTTGGGCTGGAAAATAGCAGCTAGTCCCCGGAAGAGCAAGACATGGAGTTGTGTGACCTGGGATCCTCAAGACCAAAGACAAGGTTGGGCTGGAAAATAGCAGCTAGACATGGAGCAAGACATGGAGTTGTGTGACCTGGGATCCTCTGTTTTATTAGGTCAGTCAACTGGTTAGCATGGTACTGGATTCAGAGGGGTTCTTTCTGTTGAACTCACCTAGGGTAGTGGATTTAAGGGCCTCAGAGGCTTAACCCCTGAAAAGAATTCCAAATCTGGGAGGTGGAGAGAAAAGAGATTTTTGCTTTAATGCAGCCCAAAGACAATCTCTATGACTTTAGTAACTCTTCAATATGGTAGTGCCAATAGCGGAGAGATGTCATTGATCTTCCTAGTGGTGTGAGCGCCATGGGAAAAGAGAGGGGCAGTGAGTGGGACATGGGATGGGCTTTATAAAAAATAGATTTCTAACTCTGCAAGGTGCACCGGTACAGCCTCGAAGGACAACATTGCAAGGAGGTGGGTGACAGGTGTCCAGGCCAAGCTCTGTCCTTTGGGACCCGAGGTCAGGCCATTCCCTCCTTGGTTTGCTCGTAAAGGATGAGCATGTAACGTGGGATCAAGAGGGAGAATGGGTGCACTCCCTCAGGCTGTTAAAACGCTGCCACCTGCATTGCAAAACATGTGAGTCCAGGTGCATGAGACATGTCCTCGCGGGCAGCCAGCCTGGCGCCCCTTCATAAGTGTTTGAACAGCAGCCAGTGCTGGCCCACCCAGAGAATCGGTGCATCTCTCCTACAGCCAGAGCTCAGCACTGCATGTTGACCAGATGGATATTCTGTAATATAAATGCTCGTTTGGATCCAAAAGGAAAACCATTAAAAATAAAAGAAAGATGAACAACTTGAATGTTATTTGGGGAGGGGGTCAAAGAAGAGAATAAATAAAACCTTGTTGTAAAGAATTAATTGACCTGATGCCCTCACTCACTCGGTTTGTTTGCTCCCTACAAAGGGTGAGCACGTGCCAGGACTCGGGGTCAGTGGGCAGCAGGCGCTGCAGTGCGGTGGGTGGGTTGACATCTGCTCAGCCCAACCAGTTCTGAAGAATTCCCGAGTTTCTCAAAGTTCGAAGGACAGCCCAGCCCTGAAAAATTTCTTTAATTGAAAGTGTCCTTGTTTTGAAGGAAAGGGGGGGAGGGGAAACAAAGGCTCCAAACAAACTTGTTCCTTGAAAAAGTTGAACAGATTTTCAGATCAGAAAAATATTCTCTCTGGGTGTGGAGTTTAAAATAGGCACAGGACCTCTTTCTAGATCATGGGCTTCATAACTAGAACTATCCCAGCCTCCTCGCTTGAGGGAAAGAAGGAATATGGGGCACCAGCCTAGCTGCCAAGTTCAGGAAGGAATGGACTTCCCAAGACTTTTCCAGGAGATACTGTCCATTCTTTCCTTCTGCCTCTGTCAGTCCTCATTTAACCATAATAGCTTCCTTAATAAAAGGCAAGAAGGATCCATTGGTCCCTTTGATTCTCTATTCTGAGAAAAACTTACTGTCTCATTCTCCCAGAGGAAACAATGTCTTCTTCTAGTCCTAGTGTTGGGTTTCTTATTTTAATCTGAATAATTATTTTATCAAATTAATAGAAACCAGCATTTTAGGATAATTCCCTCTTTTCTGAAGTTGACTTCAAAGATGGCTTCTCAAGCCCTAAGATGTGATTTTGGGGGGTAAGAATTTTCTTATCAAAACCACCTAAAAAAAGTAATGGGTTGTCAAATGGTCAGATTTCTTGGAGACTATGGATTGGAAATCTCTAAGATCTAGTTCAGTTCTGATTTTCTGTTATGTCCCAATCACACTCTCTTTCCCATGCCTTCCATCACCATTAGAGTTGCAAAGGCAGAACTTGAACAGTTTTGCCTAACTTCACACTTTTATCGGATGACTAATTGGTTGGTTTCGGCAAAGGTTGGTCTGTAAGGAATTTTTACATTGATTGATGGGGTTTTTGTTTGTTTGTTTCCTTCTAATCTAGATCTTAGGTCCATAGTATTTCCCAGGGGAATGGTACTAGGAAACAAAGAAAAATAAACACTATGATCTTTTCTCTGGTGTTTCTGTATTATGATTCTGAGCCTCTATTGGTTACCCTAAAACATGTCCCTTAACCAGAAATCTTGCCTCTAGGTATTACAAACTTGTCTTTACTTGTATACCACATTCTTTTGTTAATTATCTAGGAAAATTCTCAAACCAAAAAACAAGATTTCAGTTCCTTAAACACAAAATATTGGGACTAGTCACAGGTGAATATGCCTCTACATAAGAGGCAACGAGGAGAAGGAAGAGAGATGAGGCTATAAATGCAAGCACTGGGGTCAGACCCAACTGAATTCAAATCTGCACCACAATTCATTAACTGTGTGCCTTGAGCAAGCCACTGAACCTAAAACGTTCTTCATCTATAAAATGGGAACAATGGTAGCTACTACCTCATGGGGTGGTTGTATGGAGTGAACAGGTTATCACATATGAAGAGAATAGCCAGTGTCTGCCCATTATAGGCATTCAATAAAAGTTAGGTCCCGCCATCAATGCCACCATCATCACAAAGTACATTCCCCAAACGCGCGGAACACGAACATTTAGAGACACGTTCTAACCAGAAGAGTGGGTGTTCCCCTTCTGTTAGTGAAACCCAGAGGACAATTTGATCCTCAGACAGGTTTCTAAGGAAAAGAGAATAAATTAGCTTTGAAAAGCAACCAAATCGTTATTATATATCTATTTTTAAATAGTGCCTCCGCTCTTGTCTCAGAAGCAAGCCCTAATGTGCTTATTCTTTACTTCTAATTTCCATATTCATTTACTAACAAAATGGAAGAAACATTAGTGAGAGATAGTAATTGTAAAAGTAGCAATAAAGTTAATGGCGGCATCAAAAATACTATACACATATGAACAGCAATGTTCAAGGCAATTTGAAATATCAAGCAACTCACACATTAATGGCACATATAAGTGAATCATAAATTCAGCATCAATGGCCTGATTGTTGCTCCATTAAAAGAAAAAAAGAATATTTCTTTTAAAAGACCATTCCTAGCTGTTTAATAAAGAACTATTCATTCATAAGGTATCAGTCTGAACATGAATCAATTGTGCAATGCTTTGCAGGAGACCGCTGAAAAAATATTCAGGACACCACAAAGGCATAGTAGCCCCGTGAGACTGAAGCCAACCACTTTAAGTCCATCCAGAGAAGGGACTCCCATACCTCACTGCTCCCAGATCTCTGGCCCGCGCCTCTGCATGCAAGACCATATGTACTGGTATACATAAAAATAACTATAGCCTCCATCTGCTGATATTTAAATGATTCAACAACACACAGCAACCGTAGGATCCAGAATGACAGAGCAGAATGGCCCAGTCTATTTCATAGGGGAGGGATTTGAGATTTAGAAAAAATCTAAAATGAATTTCCAAGGAGGACTCCTGTGAATCTGGACAGCCATAGCGGGCTCTTGAGGTGGTCCCAGCAACCCTAGCACAACCTAAAAAAGAAGAGTGGAAGAAAACAACAGAGCAACACCCAGGAGGCCTCTTTGCTCACCACGTCCAGAGACTTCTTTGAGAATCTAATGGACACTGGACCCTCTGCCTTCAAGGGGCACAAACAAAGCTGAGTCTTCACATCCCCAGCACCACCCCAGAACCTGTTCATAGCCTGTGCAAGAGTCTTGAGAGCTATTAGGGAAAGACCAGGCACAAAACAGAGCTACCTGCATCAAAGGAACTTAAAAGTTAGAGCTGTGGCAGATCAAACTCTTCAGGCCTGGGAATGAGGGACAGAATCCAGGTCCAGTTCCAGTATGTTGGAAACACTAGTTTCCTCTGTTTCCAGATCAGATGGCTTGACTTGGGTAGGCATACAGATTGGATGGCTAGGAGGGGGCGGAAAGGGGAAAAGGATGTTTCATATAAATATAGCTCAGTAAATACACTAACATAAGCAATAGGTAGACCTGGGTCCAAATTCCAGCTATGCATTGAATAATGAGCCCAGCCACCTTACTTAGCCTCTAACCTTTGGTTTTCTTAACTATAGAATTCGGATAACAAGACCAACCTTGCATAGTTGTATTTAGGATGAGATATCTCTCTCTCTCTCTCTCTCTCTCTCACACAGTACCTGGCATGGTGCCTATCATGTAGCAGACATTTAATAAAACTTGATTTCTATGATGAATCTATTCACCTGTTTATTAAAGGTATTTATTAATCACATACCACAGTGCCATGTATGTGATTACATACATGGTAGAGTAGTGGCCTTAAGTTGTCCCCAGCCTAATGGAAGCTACAGACAACAACTAAACCATTGCAGCACCTCCAGTCAAGATGACAGTAGGTAAATGCTGTGCTCACCTTCACCCATGATCACGTCCAAATTACAACTAAATTACAGAACAAGCATCATTGGGAACCACCTGAAGACTACTTGAACAGAAGTCCTGCAACTAAAGATATAAACTATTCCAAAACTATTCCAAAAAATTAAAGAGTAGGGACATCTGCCAAACTCATTTTACAAGGCCAGCATTACCCTGATACCAAAACCAGACAAAGACACTATCAAAAAAATTATATGTCAATATCCCTGATGAACATAGATGCGAAAATCCTCAACAAAATATTAGCAACCCAAATTCAGTAATTATATTTAAAAGATAATACACCATGATCAAATGAAATTTATTCCTGGAATGCAAGGTCAATTAATATCCACAAATCAATTAACATGAAGCAGCACATGAATAAAATGAATAATAAAAATCATATGATCTTATCAATAGACTAGTAGCCCTGCGCACGAATCTGTGCGCCAGTAGCTCTCTGCGGGGCCTGGTTGCTCCGCCCGCTGCCCGGGGGCTCTCCGCGGCCCAGAGGCCCATCTATGCCCCCACCTGGCCAGAGGCCCATCTGCGGCCAGGCACGGAACACTTGCCTCGTCACCAGGGCATTGACACAGGCGTTCCTCCCCCCCACCACTGGCAACTCTGTGCCTGCTGCCCAGAGGCCTTCTGCCAGGCCGCTCACGCTGCCCACTCTCAGCAGCCACCCCCCTGGGACTGGGGGACTCCAGCGGGGCTGTGAGGACTGGGCACTGCCATCTTGTGGCTATGGGCGCCACCATCTTTGTGATGGAGTGATGGTTAATTTGCATATTACCCTTTTAATAGATAGGATTCAGAGAGAAAGTATTTGATAAAAGCAAATGTCCATTTATGATAAAAACTCTCAGTAAAGTGGGGATAGAGGGATTATACCTCAATATAATAAAGTCATATGTGACAAACCCACAGCTAACATACTCAACAGTGAAAAGCTGAAAGTTTTTTTTCTTTAAGATCAGGAACAACACAGAGATGTCCACTTTCACCATTCTTATTCAACATAGCATTGGAAGTCCTAGCAACAGCAATCAGACAAGAAAAATAAATAAAAGGCACCCAAATTGGAAAGAAAAAAGTAAAAATTTTTATTTGCATACAACATAATACTATAGAGAACCCTAAAGATTCCACCAAAAAATTATTAGAACTAATAAATGAGCTCAGTAAAGTAGCAGAAAAAAAATTACTATTCAGAAATTGGTTGTATTTTTATACACCTATAATTATTGGAAAGAAAGATTAAGAGAACAATCCCACCTATAATTGCATTAAGAAGAACAAAATCTCTAGGAAGAAATTTAACCAAGGAGATTAAAGAAGATACAAATAAATGAAAGGATATACCATGATCAGGGAAAGGGAGAATTAACATCATTAAAATGTCCATACTACCCAAAGCAATCTACAGATTCAATGCAATCCCTGTCAAAATGGCATTCTCCACATAACTAGAACAAATAATCTTAACATTTATGGGAATTAAAGATCCTGAATAGCTAAAGCA